TAACTGAATGTGTTGTGATACTCGAGTCGACATTGAGACTGGCTATCCGTTGATCAATTTGTAAGGAAAACCACGAAAAAAAAACTTTTTTTCACCGATGATGTTTTCATTCATTTTGAAGACATTTTCGATGATAGTACACATTTTCACACTTAACACACCATTCAAAAAGTCTACATTTCATTGGCGCTCTTTACGTACGTCATCTTTTTTTTCTTCTTTCTATTGGTTGTTATTCATTGATCGACTGTGAATGTTCGAAGCGATTAAAACGTTTATTCAAATGGCATAGTTTTCGACTTAGTGCCAGCATATTTGAGTGCCAGTATTTCAATCAATTCAAATTGTAGCCATTTGGTTTTCGGCATTTCGGTTTTGTCTTGTTTCTGCCCACTAGCTGGCTATTTCAATTATCTCATGCGATTAAAATGACCAGCAACAATAATTTATTATTGCGTCCCATCACCAACCGACGCTACACATACAAAAAAGAGTATGTGAACTGTGTTTCTATTGAAAAAACAAACTGTGACATGAACATAAAATTTAATTAAAAGATAATGAACACCGTCGTCGGATGCATTCCTCTATAATCATTATGTGTGGTGATGGCAATGCTCATTTGGTATTACGATGCAGGGCAAATCGCGGAAGAGGAGGTAATTGAAAGAGGGCCATACGCACAGGATGAGCAGTTGATCGGTGTAAAAGGATCAGTTGTGTGTGTGTGTGTGTGTGTGTGAGAGAGACAATAGACAAAGCCAATGAAGATGTGCAGTTTGAATGAAGCGCACATTGAACCATGTTCACCTCACTCCATCGTCGTTGGTATGCGTCTATTATCTGAATGTGATCGCGGGGAAAGAGGAAGAAGAAAAAACTGTTTAAAGAATATTTCTTTAGCTCCTTTTTTCCGCTGGCTTGGTCGTTTATAAGCCGGGATGTCGGTGAGAGTGCTATTAAGTTATTCAATGAAATCATTTATAAAACAATTCGTTCATTCTTGTTTTTTTTCGTGCTTGTGTGTGTGTGTGTGTTGTTTCTTTTCGCTTAATACAATTACAACACTGCAAGTACTTGAGTTTTTTCTCTTTTTTTCTGTTTCATTTTTTCTACAATATTGAAGATGAACTTCGAGTTATTTCTTATGTATGCATTTTGCTTGTTTTTTCCCCTTTAAGCTGGCCTGGCTCTTCTTCAACGCTGTCGTTGTCGCTAGTTTGCTCATTTTTTCTCTCTCGATGATGATTGTCAATTTTCCGTTCTTCCATGTTTTTTCCATTCCACATTCATTCGCCGAGTGTCACGATATGCGTGCAAGTGTTCGTTTACACTAGCTCGCTCTCTGTGTCGAGCCCTTTCACGGCTACGGAATATCGAATTTAACGCACTCAATAACCATTTCAGCAATGAAGACAACTCAAGAGTATTTGTTTGTGCCGGTAATGCATTGAAAAACCAAACAGCCGTGTGTGTGTGTGTGTGTGCATGTGTGTGCGTACTAACACTAGGCTACATAGCCTTAATGCGTTGGGAAATTATTTTGAAGTACCTTCAAACTTATTTCTATACTCTCTGCGGAGAATCTAAGCATTGAGCACCGGAGGTAAATTGTGCATTCTCTTTGTGCTATTTACTTTAAAAATGTATTTTTTTCTCTTTGGCTCAGTTGTGTTTCTTTGTCGTAGATTCGTTTTTTCTTCTGCTTTTTGTTTCCTTTTCTTTCGTTGCTATTCGCATTGCAAGCGTTTCGTCGCTGCGGCAATATTCGCTTCCCCTGGTGAAGGAATCGGAATGGTTGCTTCGATTCCCTTTTCGACATATTGTTTCTTTAGAAATAGGCAGAAACAATAGAAAACGTCGAAAAAGTTGAACATTTTCCCAAGCCACATTTTTTTCGACTTTTCGAAATACAAAAAAAAACTGGGCCTTTGCAAATTCATCAATAGAATTTGTGCGATTGTATATGTTACAGGGATTAAAGCTATGGCCTTTTGTCTATGCAATTGTCTCTCAGTCGTTGCAAGTTTGTTTTCGTTTTTCTTTCCATTTTCGCTAGCACCACATTTTCTCAGGTTTGTTGGGGCAATTGAAGAGCCGGCAAAAACTGAATTTTTTTTATTGACACCTGACTGTGACACAAAGATGGGAAATATTTTTTTTTCGGCGCTCTGGGTGTATATTGCACATGATTAAATATGTAAATCGGTTCTGTTGAGAAAGATCATAAAAACGACGCCGAAAAAAAAGAACACCAAACCCAGTGCAGAAAAACACATTGCAGTTGCATGGCAATAAATTATGAGTACACATGGTGTAATTTGTGTGTGTACTGGAAACCTATTTCGTTATGGGAACCAATGTTTATTTGTTTTTTTTTTCTGGTCCGTTCAAACGAACGATCGTTTTTCGGTTAAAGGCAGTGCAGTAAACGAACAAACAGCAGGTAGGACGCTCATTTACATTCGTTTGATTATTATTTATGATATTTTCACCAAGACACGACCTCATTCCATTTAAAAAATTATTCGTTCGAAAACAAACTATTTTTGTTTGATAAAATGAAATGAATCAATTGACCGAATATTTCACGTGTTTCCCTTCAATTTCGAATGATTTGGATTGAAAATGATTTGGCATGCGTTTTTGATATTTCCAAAAAAAAATTGCATCCCTTTTTTCGGTGTGGCATTTCGTTTCTGCAAACGAAAGTAAAATTCTAGCCGAACAAAATGTCTTATTCCGTTTAAATAAATCATTAAAAAAAACTACCTTCGTGACTCGAACAATGATCGCATTAGGCTGGGCTCCGCTCATTTTTGTTAATGATTAGTATTTTCGGAAATAAAATTGTATTCAGGATATAGTGAATACAAATGGTGAATTTGATTCGAACAAACAACGAAACAAATGCGATGACGATGCTTTCTTTTTATCGGACTTTTCTTTCATTTTGATAATTTGTCACTTCCGATCCCATGTTCCAAACACACAGTCGCAGGCATGAACGTTGTGAACAGAGACATTAAAGCCATAGATTTTGTTAAGGTAAGGAAGGTTTCCATTCAGAGCTCATCAATCTTTGTGTGTAATTTATTTGTTTATTGTGGTAAAGTCGTTCATTTCTCATACCACATTCATCCATTTGAAAAGACAACATTTCGTTTAATGAACTGGGGAATGACGCTTTCAGCCGTCGAAGCTAGATTGCTTGAAATTTTGGCGAGATTTTTCCACAATTATTATTTCGACTCGAACAATCGAATGTCCAATACTGAAGAAACATAACAATCGAATGTAAAATGACAAACCAAAATTGCTTCGATGATGATTATTTGGCTGACATTTGATGAACAGAAATCAAACGAAAGAAAATTGATTACTGCTTCGACTTGAAACGGCTTAAACCCATTAAAAATGATGACAAATCGTTTGCATTTCGTAGAAAAAAAAACTCTTGATGTTTATTGTTGGCAGGCAAAAATGTTCAAACAACCACAGCAAACTTCATAATGCCATGTGCCCTAGCTCAATCTGATTTTTTTTTCTCTCAAAACATGTGCATAATTTACATGTAGAATGAGTGTAAGAAATTGAATTTATTCAAAAGGCGGAACAAATAAAAATTGGCATAAAATTTGGCATAAAAATCGAATCCGAGCACGCACTTGTGATAAATGTCAAGGTTGAAATGCGCAGTATGAAATGAAATAAAATCCAAATATCACACATTGAATTGGTGCTTGTTTAGGTTTTTGGGCCGTAAGATATCCATCGGCTGACGATATACATGATTGATGATCATTGTTATTGTACGCATTTCGTTTTAGTTCAACTTTCTTGAGCCGTTGTTATTCTCTCGTACTCTGACTCACACATGAGGCAAAAAAAAAGTCGTTTCAACTCACATCTCATTTTTTTCGCTTTTCTTCACGCATCAACGGAACACATTTCCAAAATTAGTCGCAAAGAAAAACAAAGAAAAGAAATTACGAATATGACGAGAGAAAGAGAAAAAAAATAAACGATCGAGAGTGCAAAGTGTTCAGAAAACCGATTGACAGTCTTTTGAATTTTTTTTTTCAAGTAAAAAAAAGAGAACTACACACATTTTCGGTACACGTCGATGCGTGTTTGTGAACAACTTCTCGGAATAATGAACAAAATCTAAAGAAAAATTTATGAGTTTCAAGTGGCAAAATGCTTCAAAGCACAGAATTGTGGCGCGAACTATGAAATCATGCATATCGAAATGATGCCGGGTTCAAAAATATTATTCGCGCCTTGAGCGGTGCGTCTTATAATTACTTCTTTCAACTGGATTTTTCAGCGAGTTTCGTCTCTACATTCGAGTTGACTGCCGATGTGAACGCCGATCATGAGACGGAGCACTTCGTGCACGTTGAAAACAAAATATTCGTCAGATACTCAAAAATGAAAGAAAAGGGGAACGCATCGAAATCTCCGTGAGTTTTTCTCTCTCTTGTGGTTGAGTGCAATCGAATTAAATCGAATGGGTTATAATTAAACGTACACACATACATTCAATAAATCATAACGCGAACATATTTGGTTAAAGTGGTACTGATCGCATATTTTTTTTGGGCGATCGTGAAATTTATAAGATGTTGGCTTTAGTTTTACTCTGCCTGCATTAAATCAAACACCACACCATTTCAGATAAATAACACTACACAATACGGCATCTGATGTTTTTTTTGGGGGGGCCTGAATCAGTTAAGACTGTCAGATTATAATAAGTTAAGACCGTTGACATCAATTACCACACAACATTCATTAGATATCGTAATCGCATAGGGATCTCAAGCACTCATTCTTTTTGATTATTTGAATTTTGTATTTTGAAATGCGAGTTTTCCCTTCATTCACAATGTGAAGTTTTATTACAAAATTCTCACAGGTTTATCGGCGGTTATTATGTAAGCTAAATGATTTTCGACGCTAATTAGTAGGGCACACATTTCAGATAAAATACTAACCGATTTTCTCGTTCTTCGAACGTCAGCTATTCCAAGTAAGATTTGTTTTTATTCCAAGTAAAACTGCCAATCAATTGGCTTTATCACTAAAATTAAAGTTTTTTTTACACTGAACGCATTTGGGATGGCGTCTCGTGGCTAATTTCACAAGAAGGTACACAAAATCTTGTTATACAAACGATGCAAAGTGAAAACACCTTAAATAGCGGTTTCCCGTTGCATTTCTATTTGTTCACTGCAAACGGAATGCAATTGAATGGCGGCTTCAAATGTCAATTGTCCGTTCAACATGAAACCATAACAACAGCTACGAACTGTGTACAAACACACAAAACTTGGACAACACACAAATTTCCAATAACGACTTACACGACGGACGAACGAATGAGTGTGCAATCCGATCGAAACGTACGGAGAGACTAAATTCTACGCTTTTTCAACTGTTCGAACTACGCTCATTTTTTCGGATTCCTTTTTCCGCTGTCATTCTCCCTCTGTCTATCCAGCTCGGTTTTGGTCTCTCTTGTTCTGTGCCAAGAGAGGGTATATACTGGTTTGATTGTACTATGTGAGCATAAAAATGCAATAGAATTACTACATGAGAGAAACTGTGAACGACTTTAAAGAATGAAACAAGTTCTCGACGCCAAGGTAAGTAGCGGAATGTGCCATAAATGTGCGGGCCTTCGGAAGGTAAGAAATACGGTAGAAGAGTAAATTGAGAATGAAATGAGCATATAGGCTGCTTGATTCTCACCAATACACTGGCACACATAAGCCGACTAAATATGCGAAACTATTGCGTCCTTTTATTGCCGCTGCATTCAACATTCATATTTTGCCGCGTAGATGGATGTCTGCTTGTGCTTCAACTTCTTATTATTCATTTTTTCGAATGAGAGGTTCATCTTCAGTTGGAAGATTATTGAAATTTGCTTAAATGAGAAATAAAAATGCATATTTCAGTAGAAATGTTTAAATATGAATGTTTGATCACATAAAACGTGTGTTATGAGATACAAGGGAAATGTTAACATAAACACATCAGTAGCTGGCTTATTTCATTAACACTTTGATAGCGTAAAAATAAACATGAATTTTTTTAGACGAATATTTGAAAATATTTTCGAAAGTTATCTACTTGAAAATGATAGACAAGATCCAAATTTAAAAAAATATTATTGTTATTCAATGTTTTTATTGGTGATTCAGCAGATTCAAACAAAAAACACCGACAAATTGAAGAAAAATATGCCAAAATTTTGTATGCATTCATGCTATACCCCACTCTATCGCATCAAAAGTAAACACCCAAAATAATTGCCGAAAATTGTGAATAAAACCTAAATTTAATGTACGTACTTATTCTTTTTGTATTCTTGAATCGCAGAAAGTGTAGTCAGAATTTAATTTTGGCATCACCTTCGAAAATCCATTCTTCTTAAACTAGTCGTAAAATCAGTTGAAATTTGAATTCTCCGAATTGAGTCGAATTCAAGACAAGTGGCAGTTATCAGTGTATTGTTTTCATTCTCTTCTTTCAAATACTTCTAAGCTGTTAACAACTGTTTTTCTTCAATTGTGGCGGCTGTTTATATTTATGCATGCCGTAGAAACAATAATTTCTGTAAAAAACGAAATTTGCAGATTCAGCATTTGTTCTAAGCATATAAATAGACGACTAACAGAACACGAGCCGTATTTTGTTGTTGGTGATAGGTGAAACAGACGATGTTCGCAATGTGTGCCAAGAGTTGGCTGATTTCAGCAACGATATTATGTTGCATGACTTTTGCTGGTGCTATTCCAACTGATAGGTGAGCTATTAACATATTTTGTGTGAAAATTTTCATCAGTTAAACAATTTTTTTCATTCAATTTTTTTTTTGAACCATCAGTGTCTAAATTATGATGTAATAAACTGTGAATTTATGCTAATCAATGTGGTTTTCGTAGGTCAACTGGAATGTGTAGTCCAAAAGATGACATTGTTATAAGTGTTGAACAAGAGATTCCTGCTCAATTGCCGCATGAACCATGCCTTGGTGACAACAACCAAATTTATAAATTGGACACGGATGGATCATTAGAAGACTATTCGAATGAGACCGAGTTTGGGCAAGAGCTAATCGATTTGTTATTGCGAACAGGCGAAATCCAGTTGAAATCGAATGATGACGACGATGTCGCAAAAGTTCGTCGAGATGAAAATTTAAAAAACGACCGCTACGACGAGTTGATTAATGCATTCAATGTTATTCTGGAGGAGATACTACGCCAAGGAAAACTAACGAAGCATATTGATCATCAGCATCATCACGACAATGATGAACCGAAGTACAATCGAATCGACGACAATGCACAAGATTCGCAGCGCAAATCGAGGTCAAAATGTACAACTGGAAGGTGTTTGAATACAGTAGAAAGTGAGCTGCTTCGGAAAATCAAAGTGCTAAACACCCAATTGAACTCCCTCATGCAAAGTTCGGGGAATAAAAAACCAAAACGAGGCAGAAATGACGGTGACAGTGATTCATTAGACGGTTTAAACGTGTTTGCGCTACCAAATGTGAATCATTTCGGCAAAAACCCAATTGCGAAGGCGGATAAGAGTGACACAGAAGGAAATAAAGTGGAACACATTCCGACCACAGCTGATGGAAATCATCAAAAAAGTGTGAATCAACCATGGAGCGGAGATGATTCGACCACGGTTGATAAACATAGTGGTAGTTCTGCACTTGAAAAACGTCAAGTCGATGAAACACCTAAATACCAACTCTCCAAAGAAAATAACTACGGCTTTGAACGACCACAATTTGTTAAATATGGCCCAAACGAGAAGCATAATTCCTATTCGAATGACATTGCCGACCCATCAACGACCGAATCGAATACCACTCCAGGGGCACCAATCTTAGTAAGCGGCGGCATAAATATTCCGATGCGCATTGTCAAAGGTCCAAATGGTAATTTCAACTTGGTATTGGATCGAAGAGCACTCTGTCAAAGTGGTCGGTGTAGAGCACGAATTAATAGCAACTAAAATGTATCAACTGTTAGAAATGTTATTTATTTTGAGAAAAAAATTGTTATCGAAAAAAAATTCTCCAATAAAAAATGTCTTGATTTATGAATTCAATTGTTGTTTTGTTTTTTCATTCCGTTTGTTCGTTGTTTTCAGTCGTTTACAGAAAACTTGGAACTTCGTACTAATTTCCAATAACGTTCACAGTTTGAACGCAATGTACTAAACTTCCACTGGAAGTTTGACAGACGGTGAGTATTGCTTTTGCGCGCCATCACAAATGTCATAGCATAATATCAAAGAAGCCATCGAATGTAACCTCACAAACACGACAAGCTGCACACATTGTTCACGGGAGCAGCAAAAATAAAGCGAATTTTCAGTGAGATAATGTAAAAAAAAACAACACCCGATTGTTGAATTTCGATTAAAATTGTGTACTTGGCACTGGTGTTGATAAAAACTTGGACGGGTAATTGGTGTGTACATGAATATTCGCATATGCGTCTCAGAAAACAGTTAAACTAATGTGTGTTTTTGTTCATCGCAGGGGATTGCCGCATAGCACGCAATACGCTTAGCAGCGCAAAAATGCGGCCGGAAAGTTTGGAATTAGAGTCGAAATCTCGAATATCTGTGTCGCAAACAATTTTACAGAAACTAAAATCGAGTTCTCCGAATGCATCGGGTAAGATAAACATTTTAATTTCTATTGAACAGTTGTTTTACTCAAGCTGATCAATGACATGACTGAATTTCTTTGTTTCGCAAAACATAGGCATTGCAAGCATCTGCAATGAAGAGGAATTTCTTGGTGGGGTGATTCGAGGTGGTCAACTTGCTTGGATTGCAGTCGGATCGAATGTCGAGGTGTTATCTACCAGAACTGGACACAGAGTCGCCGGACATTCGTTCGATGAGAAAAGTATCGTCACTTGTGTGGCCGAAGTGACAGCAAATGATATTAGCTCATGTTTATTGATCATTGCCGTTCAACGAGTGCCCATTGGCGGACTACTGTATTTGTTTTCGGTGCAAGGATCTCGAATTGTTCATTGCATCGGCGTGGTTGACAAAATCACCAGCTGCTGTTTCATAAGCGATGCTGCATGCAAACGTGGCTGTTTGAAGACTTTCAACGGCTGTGCAGCGGTCGGAACTGACGCTGGAGAAGTGTTCTTGGTCGATTTGAATCTGAATCGATGTAGAGAAAGTGAGTTTTTTTTTATATATTTCAACAGAAAAAAACGTTCCTAATCGACAACACTCTTTATTTTACAGCTATATCAAGACAGAAACCATTCAATCCAAACTCAGATGATACGTCGTGCAAACTACTATCGGCGCCAATTGATGAGGATGAAGTTCGTGTACATATCAAGCAAACGCGGCTTGAGAACATAAATTTGGGCATTCGTTTGGATTTTTCTGTCGTTGAACAGCCTTCACCCATTTCGTCAATACTGTCAATGCCACAAATGCAAATGATTGTGATTGGCCTTGAGAATGGTTTGCTTGCCCTATTCAACTTGTGCGATTTGAATGCTCTCCATTTGGCATACCCACCAGAGATCGATTCACCGCTTCTAAAAATGACATTCTTAGAACCGGCCGACGATCCAAGACCATGCGTATATATTTGGGCATTTCATGCTAACAAAAATAATTTCCCATTCGCTGTGATGCATTCCGTTTCGTTCACGTCGAAAACCTATCAAGATGGCGAGAATATTTACGAAACATTTCAATGGTGTCGACCAGATTTGACGATTCCAATTCATGAAAGAGAATCAACGCCAATCTCATGCCAATCGGTGACTAAAATAGTTTCCGATGAAGAAGATGAACAGTACAGCCTGTGCCTGTTAGCATGGACCAATCGAATGTCATCGTTCGTGCTGGTTTTCGATTTGAATCAATGGTACAAGGAGCAAATGCCACGCATGTGTGACTGGCGAGATTATCCAAGCTATTTGGCACCGTTTCCAGTCGAAATTGGTGACGCACCGTTGGACATTTGGCTGAATCCAAAGTCAGTAGTAACTTTCAATTCGATACAACGACCCGAAGAGCATTTCTACCCGACGTCGTTGAGCTTTGATTTGATTGAATTGAAAACGACAATCGTTCATAAGCTGCAATGGGCTGGATTGCAAAACAATGCCATCAAGAAATTAAGCAGCACAGGTGCCGTTGCTATTCTCATGCCCGATGAATGTTTCGTCGAGTTTTTGGAGGCTTCGCTGATTCCACAGTTGAGCGACCAAAATTATCATGCGAACCCATCAAAGGTATGGCATATTCTCTTCAAATACTTTCACAACATTTCTATTTCAAGCTATCTGTCATAAGATTCGAATTTATTCTAAAAAAACTCTTCAACATTCCAGAGATTGAAACAAGAGTTTCTGTTATCAATGGCATTGGAATACAATTGCATGAGTTTATTGCGAGAATGTGCGCAGCATTGGGCTGATGGCAGTCACATGGGCCGTGGTGTCAACGATGATGGATTGACCCTATCAACGCTCACCGATTGGATTTGGCATCAAGCAACGTTAATCAAAGACCGATGCAACGATCTCTGTGTACCACTGTTCGATGACTCAGGCATCACAATCGATTTACGGTCACGAAAAATTCTTGCCCATTACTCACGGCAATTGAAACTACTGGCCGACCTTTTGCACATGATCATCACGAATTATCGCCAGTACATACCGGATGAAATTTTTGATACGCTCACCATGCAACGCAACTCGATTCGCATGACATCAGAGTACCAAGAAGTCCTTCAATGGTTGCTGAACATGGGACTGTTACCCGAAATCGTTTGGAATCAACTGTCGCTACCCGAAGCAAGGAATAATACTTTCACCGCAATACCGTATCCGTATCGGATCCTGAATAAATTCTACACTGAGCAACGGCAGCGATTCTACGACATTGATCGCAGTAACATCACACCAAAAACAAATAGCTGCAAATGTTTGTACATCGATTCATTCATCGATCGTGAGTGCAACTCTCATTTGCTACGGAACGAATGGAACAATGGACTAGGTGACGGCTTGTACCCACCGCCATCATTACAAGCGATGCTCCGCATTCTCTTGATACCCGGCATAACGCTGGAGAACAAATACATGCTGTTTGTCTACCTTTTTCTTGATTTACACATGGTTCTGGAGGCCGAACACTTCAACGTCGTGCAAAATCTCATCAAGTTTCCGGCCGTTTTCAATTTGAATTCATCGCTGATCAAAACCACACAAGCATTCTGGAATTTGGATCACAATGAATATGAGGTAGGTTGTCAATTATTTTAAGTCTTCTTTGGTCTTGGCCCTAATTGTGTGTCTTATTTTCGAACAGATTGCATTGAAAGAGCTCATTTCGCCGCTGACCAGTGACCGACTAATATCGCAGTGGCAACAAGAGTTGTTGGTAAACACACTTCTGATACGTGATATGCCCAATTTGGCACTGCAAGCAATACGTGCACCTGGTCCATCGATCAACACACCACTTCGTATTAAAACTCTATTGGCAAACAACTTAATCACCGAAGCATTCGAGTTGCAACGTTCCAAATTCGATGAGCATCTTTTGTTGGAGTTTTTCAAAGGGTGTCACGAGCATAAAAAGTGGAACTATGTACTTGGTTTGTCGTTGACGGAACGGGAGGGTGAAATTTTGTGTAAATTCTTGAAAACATGTGACTCTTTGCTGTCTGAGAATTTGCAATTGCTGTATTTACTGCAACGCAATCGATACATTGAGGCTCTTACATATTTGGACGATTTGAAACACAAACCCCGATCGATAGCTATGCATAAGAAGCTAGAAAATACGCAAGACATGATAATATCGTCGTATAAACTGGCTATGAATACGACAAACCGAGCACTTTGTGATCAATACATGGCAATAAAAGATCGTCTGCGGGTTGATGTACAGCAAAATAATGAATCAACCAGTCCGTTGAGCAGTCATCTCAATCCATACATCGTGGATACTAATGCAAATGTCGTTGGAAGTGTATTCCACAGAGCAATCGTATCGGCAAAACGTACTGGTTTCAATAGTATGTCACAAAAGTATCACATACCACTTTTGGGTAATATACGCGTTGATCTCGATTTGGAAGAAGTCGATGATTACAAACCGACTGTGGAGCCAAAACCGTATATCGGTCTATTGAAGCGTCGCAAGGAAATTTCATATGAAAATAATGCAGATCCGGATCAGCGGCAACCGGCAGCCAAACGTCAACGCACTGACTCATTCTCGATAGCCGATCAACCGCTGAAGAAGCACGCTCCCGGTATAAATAGCTATTTGATGACATCGCTAACGAATCAGAATCAAATGGTAAAGAAAGCAGTGAATCGTCTAGATTTGGATGACACCATTGAAATCGATAATGATCAACGCAATTCGTTGGGTGAACTATGCGATACGGTCAATTTGCTTAGTACACCTGTAGTGAAGAGCAGCCGCTTGGACATACACAGTCGCATTGAAAGTCGTTGCCAAACGCCACAGAGTATCTTGAAACAGCGACACACCGAAGCAGGTTCGATAAATTAATAAAATTGGTTTTTTATTTGTTTGTTTTTTTTATATTATTCGTTAAATTTTTCAGGTTCGATAATTTCACGACGTTCAACATCACCGTCGTTGACAGTGCATTCAGCCCGACGATCGGTTGATTTCAATGCACAACCATTTTGCTATACAATTCCATCGCAAAATGACGAGTATCGTCTGGGAGCCATTGAAGAGACAGGACACATCGAGGAAGATGACGATTCAAGCTCATTGAATTCGCCCAATTCAATCAAAGGACGGCGAGCGATTCATTCGGGCAAAAGTAGCACTGCATCGAATTCCATCGACGAATTTTACTCACCAGAAACATCGAAGGTGCAAGAGGAGCATGAAAAATCAATTCAAGTTGCTGAAAATAATGAGCTGTCACGTATATCACATCAAAATGATGCTCCAGCAGCTTCGAATTCAAATATTAAATCTCGACGTGGATTGCGATCAAAAACACCGGAAATTCCAATGATGAGCTCGACGCGTATAACACGCTCACGTTCCAAGTTAAACTTGGACGACTCGGTCGACTATGAGACTGCTACGTCACAACCCGTGCTGAATACATCAACGCCAAAACGAGCCACACCAAAACGTTCATCGTCACGATCATTGAGTAAAAATGTGATTACATCGAATGCATTGAAAGCACAAAGCGAAGCCGAAAAATTGGTTAAAGATAAGGAGCCAGAATACGTTTATTCAACGGATGATTCACCCTATGCCACCATTTCGGAAGCGAAGCAACGTAATTATCTAAAAGATGCATCTGAAATGAGTGTGAAACAAGCTTCAATGGCATATTCCACTGATGAATTGGATGCAACACAGTTTAAACATAAACATAACCTACTACAAGATTCATCATCGTTTGCATCGGAGCGTAGTGAAAGTGACGCTTTCGAGAAACTTTCTGAACATGAGGATTCCATTAAGGAGCAAATCGACGAGGAAATCGTAGAGCAAGTTGAGCAAAATGTGCAAGAGTCGGAATACACAGAAGATAAGCCAATTGATGATCAATCAACTGTTGATTATTCGATGGAAAGCATTGGAAATGAACCAAACCTTGAGCAAGTTCAAGAAAATATTGAAATTGCATCAGACACGCCAACCTCAACACAAAATAGCCCAATTCCAACGATCGTTGTCACCGAAACTGTGTCGGAACAAACTGAAATCACTACTCGCACGTTCCCACAAAATTATTTGGTTGATAGTTCGATGGGCGCAAGTGAATCGATTATGCAAAAAATCAATCGTTACGAGCATTACACGAGTTCATTCGGTGAGACTACGCCTGCGAAAAATTTCCTAGAAGACAGCTCGATTTGTACACAGCAAACGGCGGCTGAATCAGCATCGTATGTGGACAGTGAGAAGGATGTTGTGAATCTTGACGATTTTCATGATGATGAGTCGAAGAGTGAATCGTCTTCAAACAACACCATTTCCAGTGAGGATAGCTCTGACACCGAAATTCAAGGCGATTTAGTCTACGAAGAGAGCGATAATGAGGAAAATGATGAGGTTATTCAGATTTCGAGCAGCTCTGACGATGACGATGATGACGATGAATCGCACAAGTCTTCAGACGATGTACAAATTACCGATTCACATAGCTACAACGAATACGATGATTTGAAGTATGACATAAATGATGAATTTGCCACCACTTCACAACCCCAATCCACTGAGTATGAACATGTTGATGACTATCGTATCACCGAGTTGCAATCGGCTCAACTTGACGTTCAACCAGACGACACCGAAGTGCCCAGCTTGATTTCCCAAGAGCAGGCAATGAATGAAATGATTTATGGTGATTTGGGTGTGGCCGATGCTGAAATGTTGGACTTGGACGTACATAACGATGCATTTGGATTTGAAATGCATGGCCATCATGGTGAACAAAATCAAGGATCCGTTTATTTGGAAGCCGTTCAAATGGCATCAAAACGAAACGAACAAGCCGAACAGTTGATTTTGGACGATCCATCAAATGGTCATGCTCCATCGAGCAGCAGTGAACCATCAAGCGGAGAACAAACACAGCAACCAGACAATAATGAGGCACAATCGGCTTGTCAAGAGCAGACACAAGAACTTGTTGCCGATGATAAAACTGCAGTTGAAGACAAAGTGGAGGATCAGGTTAACGACGTGGTCACGACTGGAACACATGAAGAGAGCAAAGTTGTTTATATTCCAATTCAAGTCGAGCCGTTAGAAGATGAAACAAATATGCAAGATAAAGCTGTTATAATTGACGAAACTACGGCTGTTGATAGCACAACTCCAGACAATCTTGAGCCAATCGAAGTTACCGAATTCGAAATTGAACCAACAAATATCTTTGAAAATACTGCCATTACAAGTACATTTAATGTAACTGAACCGGTTGAAATTTTGGCACAAGGAATTACACAGAAAAATGAGCCGGGGAAAATTGAGTCAGAGCCAGAGCAACTTAAACCAATTGAAGTTGAAGAAATTTATTCTCCCGAGAAAACAACGAAGAAAGATGATTCAGTCAAACCAAAAACACCAGCAAGAAGAACACGACATACGACTTCACAACAGGACACGCCGAAAAAAGTTGAAGCGGCTGAAAAAGTCGATGAAGAAAATGAGAGTAGTAAAGCCGATTTACCTGAAACAAACCCGAAAGCTAAATCAAAGCTGAAAAAATCGGATTCGCAGCAGACGTTGACAAAAATGGACGAAATTGAGGTAGAAACCAGGCCCAAACCACGAACTAAACGTGCAAAATCACAACAGCCACCTGAACCAATCATTAAAGATGTGGATCGAAAGAAACGTGGTGCATCAGAGCAAAGAGATTTTACAATCAAAATCGAAAGAATGGAATTGATGCCTGAGCCAAGCGTCAAAACGACAGCAGCCGCCAGTGAGCCGGACGCAGAAGACAAAAAGCGTAAGAGACGTGGTGCTTCGCAGCAAAAAGAATCATCGGCCCAAGTTCCAACTGAAGAGGAGCCAAGCACCTCAAAAGTCACAGTCACAAAACGTACCAGAAACAAATCGGTCACCGAATCAGGTCTTGGCGATAAATTTGATGCAGAAGAGAGTGTATCAACCCGTCGACTTCGCAAAGCTACGTCCCATCAAAGTCTATCGGATGCTGTCGAAAGTACAATCGACGAATCGTCGACAACAACAACCAAACGAGGCAAATCACCAAGCAGAAAGAAATCAGAGACCACCGCACCCCGGCGTGCAGCATCGCATCAAAGTTTATCCAGCACTTCGGATAGTGGAAATCAAGGTAAAGAAGAGCCGGTCAGTCGTAGCACACGCGCAAAATCAGTTTCGATGCAAGATATCAACAATCCACGAACAAGACGAGCGGCATCGCAACAACGTTTGGACGATATTGACGAAAAGGAAGAAACTAAAGTGTCAAAGCGTAAAAAAGTCAAATCTGAATCGACCGATTCGGATTCAGAACTTGGTGATCGATTCGATGCAAACGAAAGTGCACCGAGCCGACGACTTCGAAATGCCGTTTCACATCAAACACTTTCGAAAATTGTTGAAAGTGCGTACGAAGAATCACCGGCGAAAAAAGGGAAATCCAAAATCAAAAAAGAACCAACAACACCGAGAACAACACGACGTGCCACTTCCATCCAAAGTTTGTCTAGTGCTGCTGACGATGAAGCAAAAGTGGTGGATGCTGAAGTAACGAAAACCCGTTCAAGAAAGAGATTAAAATCAGACACATCGGATCAAGCTGAAGAAAAAGAGGAAATCGGAAGTAAAACTCCAAAGTCACGATCACGGCGCACTTCATCCGTAACAGAAAAATCGCCAAAAGACACTGATTCCGCAAAGGAATCGCGCAGAACATCGAAGCGATCGAGTAAAAAAGATGATGACACCCAATCGGAAGCTTCTTCAATTGTTTCGTCACGCAGTCGCAAGGCAAATACTGACGATGAAACGTCTTCAGTAAAATCAAGCAAAGTTCGCGCCACACGTTCGGGTTCGGTTTTACCAGCCATTGCCGAAGATGAAGTTCAAACTACAAGCACATTGTCCCAGGATTATTTGGAAACAAGTCGTTTGACTCGTTCACAACGAGCTACTGTTGAAAAATATGCTAAACTCAAGGAAAAAATTTCAGCCGTGGAACCCACCACCACACGACGAAAAGCTCGCAAAGCCAAGGCCGATGATACTGTTGATGAGAAGCAGTTCGATTTCGATCACAGCGATACTGAATCGATCGTATCACAGAAGAGTTCCGTGTCTAAAGCATCAAAGAAATCAAAAACATCTGAAGCATCTACATCGCAACGTTCAACACGTCAACGGACTCAGAAGAAATAAAAAACTTCGCCACTTTGTTTGATACCAATTATTGTATTTAAGATTGAGGTTCTTGTAAAACATGAAGATACATTTTTTTCTGTTGTTTTTGTTAATGGGAATTAAAAAATTTCGATTTGAACGGCACACTTTTTTCAATGCGACTCAAACATTTTTTAGTGCTGTTTATGTTATAGCCGTTTGCAATCAATTTGCTACATTTTTTGGATAATAAATCGATTTAAATTGAAATAAGAACATAAAATGGAACCAAACGCATTTTTCATGGTATTTTTTTTCTCTCTTAAAGCTAAATCAAAACTGTTGGTGAGGTCATACGAAAAATAAACGTAAAATGTAAGTATTCTCATGTTCGAAATATTTGAGGAGCCCGTTCGTTGTCAACGAATCGTTGAGAGTTTTGTTGTAATTGAACTGAGTTGGTCATTTGATGTCGATTTCTTGACGAATTGTTTATTGCCATTCCATCGATGGTTGATTCGATGCTGCGCTGGCCTCATCGTATGCTGCGCGCGTTCCATCAATGTTCACAACCACAAGGTCTGTAGTCTCAACAATTTCTTCCGTATCCTATCAACAAACAACATAGATATAATATTGGTTAGGCTTCCTCTTTCCTGCTGAATTTTACGAAAATTCCGTCAACCGACTTACCGTCTTATTGATCCACATGTGATGTGTAGTGGTGGCTGTCAATTCTTCCTGTGGATTCACCATCATGGAGATAACTTGGATTTCATGCGATGTTGTCATATTTTGCAACAGCTTCATGATTGGACTGGAAAATGATGAGATAAGCAGACATATTAATGGTGTTTTCTTTTTTGAATGAGTTCGAATAAATTTACCCGATTAACGCTGGTTTAATGATGTAATCAAGGCTGTCAATGATCAGAATCGGTGAGCCAATAGCCTGGTTTATGGCCAACTTCAGAACCAAAGCGGCAGCGTGATGGCTCAACGTTGTGATCTGCTTCGGATCAAAACCAATCATCGGATCAGTCACCAGCATGGTTATCGGTGACTTCAGTGCAGGCTCTTCGTATGACAATGTCAATGTCATATTCCATTTTGAGTGGCAATAGAGTGACATCTCACTGAAAACCTTGACAAAGTGCAGGAAGCGCTTCTCAAACGCATCAGCTCGAGCAGCCACCTGACGCTTTTCGACAACTAACTTTGAATTGATCGTTCTCTTGACACGTTTATTCTTCTTTGCCAATGCGTTCAGCTCTGGATCATTGTGGAAGATGTGACCGTCTTTGTGTCCGATTTCCAATTCTATCTTGCTGATTTGTGAAGCAACAGTTTTGAAAATCTCATCAATCGATGCATCTCCACCGAACGTGCAGGCATTCCGAGGAGAGATTTGATCAAAGTAGGCTTTCGGTGATCTAATTGGAATAACAGAACGATAAAAATTCTCTTTAAAATGAAGAGCAAAATACAGCAAATACTCACGTCTCTTTCGTGGGATCAAATGGCAGGTCCAACACCAACTTCTGTAAAAATCAAGCGAATATTCAGGATTTTAAAACAGAGATTTTGTGGCCGTGCATTAATATTGAAAAGAAGACTTAACGTTCTGTCTTACCGAGATGACAATATTGATATGCTCAATTGCCAGAGTTGCGCCATCCAAAAATTCCTCTTTCAAAAGAAGCAATGAGTCGATACATGCATGTTTGACAAATAATTCATGCGATTCGTCTATTTTCTTGCCCGCTTCAATGAACATTTCTAGTGTCATTTGCTCATGAAAATCCAACCGCAACGACTCATCAGTGTCAAGTCGCTGCTGGTACGATTTCAATTCGGCCACCTTTTGTTCGGAGAGATCAATTTGCTGCTGTACGGCTTGCTGACTGGTTGCAAAAACGTCCTGATGACGTTTGATGCAATCAATCCCACTGAGAATCTCCGTTGTATCAGTGCCGAAGCCAAGATCTGACCAGATGTTCTTGAACTCCGCCGAATACTTTGCGGCCAGTTCATGTTCTGTTTCCTTGACTTTATTCTCAAGATCGTGTTTCTCTTGGTCCATTGTCGCCGTTTCTGCATCGTCTTTGCGATACCAGATTCCAGAATATCCTTTTTCCTAGAAAACAAAACAAAAACACAGACTAATAAGTACAAATATCATCGAAAATGTGTAACGACTTTTACCTTGATGCGTTTCACAGTCTCACCCAGCTCCGAGTAATCCTTCTGTTCAATGGAATTTTGCACCAACATCAGTGACGACAATGATTGGAGCACATCGAAGTTCGTTACTGAATCATCCCTCGAAATCAAACGTCCGAATGGATTTGGTTCAAGGTGTTCGTAACCACGAGTAATATGAACAATAACGTGTTCGTTCAATGGTTCGTTGTCCCACTGAAATGTTCAATTGAATATTGATTACTCATAACAATTTAGTATGCATGGATCTGTCTTCATGAAAATTCCCCTTCAATACCTCATCGCGAAGATTCTTTGGATCAAAATCCGTCGTTTCGACAGTGCAGAAGCCATCAGAGGGCGGTAGACGAGTGTAATGATTGAGTGTGAATCCCTGTAAAACCGATAAAATTGAAACGTTAACGTAACAATCTGTATGCAATGTTTGTTTTTCTTACAGCCCCCTTGTATTGATAAATTTCCGCATCGCTCAATTTGGCTCGTTGAAGTTTTGCTGCAGCTTCATTCTTGGCATCTTCTAGCTGCTTGCACCATGGACTATTGCCATTGCCATCGTTCGTCTTCCAATCGGTTCCCACTTTGCCATACTCTGCCAACAAAAGGTCGAATCGTTCGTCTTCCGATTTGATGATCAAATCCAAGTTGTCGTGTTCGAACTGAGCGTATGCTTCGCCAAATTGTTTGGCAGCATTTATATTGGTCATGCTCAAAACTCGGGCTTCCTCTTCAATTTTATCTTGAATGGTTTTGCGTTGTGCCTAAAATGTTACATATCGTGAATCACTCACAGCTTGCTGATATGAATGCAATGATTGAATCTTAGGTACATCAAGACGCGATTTCCAGTCCATTTTTGCCAGTTCCACAAGTCCATTTGCAGTGAAATCATCATCCTAAGAAATACATAACAATCACTTCAATGCTTCTCATTGTTTCATCACCCAAAATTTCATCACTCACCCGTTGGAGAATTCGCCTACGAAGCTCGACGCCTTGCAAATCGTTTCCATTGTCAATTTGCTGACGCAGTGAAAATATTTCGTCACGCAAAACTGCCGCATATGTATGATAGAAAAACAACTGTAGCAACCACAAATCACGCTTCCCATCGGTCTATCGATACAAAGGAGAATATTTATGTTGAATGCAGCTCAAAAATGAATGAATATCAATGAATACCTCGCATTTTTCTTTTTCAACTTGTTTGTTGAATGCTTCCTGGGTTTGCTTGATTTTCTTGTTGCATGCACTCAGCACCTTTTTCTGATCGCTCAACATTTCTACCGACCCATCAAATTCGTCGTAGTCATTGTTTTGCTCTTTTCCCATCAAATACATCTCCAAAAATGGACGCAAATCGATGTGGCTTGTGGCGAGTGCGTTTTTTATGCCACCTCCAAAACAAAATGGCTGTGTTAATGCACACACCTTGAGCTCGGCAAATTGATTGAAATACTCCTTTTGCTCGACCGCCTGTTGATCAAATATTCAATGATTCGCATGATTAAATAAGGAAAAATGCAATATATTGAACCAAATCTTACTCGAAAAGCGTCATCGACACCATCGATCTGTATTCCATATGCCATTTGTGCCACACCATGGACCACTTTCTTTGAATGCTTGAAATGCCATGTTTCCACCTGACCCACGCCGTTGCCACGTTGCAATGTCACAATGACCTCGGCTTTTTGAGCATCAGTATCGTGGCCAAAACCAAATTGGAATGCTTGAAACAGCGTCGTTCGTTCTGTGAGCATTTAAACTCATTAACTGCGATCAATTCGACTTTGTTCACCATTAAACTGTTCAAATGATTATTTACCATAGAAATCTTTGACGCTGATTACACCAAAGGTTCCCACCGGTTGAATATTCCAAGAGAGGAGTCCCTTCTGCAGCTTCTTGAAATCGACAATTCGCAACGATGTCAATTTCACTTTCCGAATTACACTCTGATCCATTTTCAACGGGTTCCAATGTAATCGAACTGATCAAACTGATTGCAATCTATTGCCGTTTTGCTGCAAACAATTTTCACTTCAAAGTTAATCGCGTGTATTTGCAGAAATGATATGCTCACTCAGCATCGTCACTCATTCAATATTGAAAGTGTCTGCTGCATTAACACGAAGATGTGTGATTCATACTATTTCACTACCAAACGAATTTCAATGACGATCAAATTTATCTCAGTTATTTTTGTGTTTTATTGAAGAAATATTGTTTAAAAAATGCCGAAAATCCGATTTCAATCATAAATTGATCGAATCACTCTGACTTAAAAATCGTATGGAAGTGCACAGAGCAAACACAGCTTTTCAACTGACCGCATAAGAACCGCTGCATATATTAGCACAGTATAATCTTCTTCGCTGTACTGAAATGCATTTCGAACCAATGTCTTTGGTGCTCTCGCACGAACACACACCAATCTTCTGACATCTCAAACGTGACACTTCACACAACCGCATTTTTTAAGTATCCTGAATGTTGCGTTGACGTGTTACAGATCGCCAAATGTTGATGTCCTGCATGTTTTGCATCAACGCTGTGCACATTTTTTCTTTAATTGCGTATCTTTTTCATGAAAACAGTCATCTCCGCTACTCAAAACTATACCGAAACTTGATAGCGTTTTTTTCTCTTTCGGCAGTTGTCGATGATTTTGAATCAACCAAGAATACGATTTCCATTTATTGAATAGGTGTCTGCATATATGCTTTGTACCGGCCTTTTTTTCGTATGATGAAAACCGGTTGAAGATAATTTTAATTAGTTAGTCATTGACATAAATTGCAAATGTTCATTCTGTCCACCCATAAGATTGATTCATGCATTGCGCTTTGTATTCGTGATATTCCACGCTATGGTACACAAAGCATATACATAGAATACAGTCTGAAGAGCGAAACAGTGCGTATACAAATCGCATATCGTGATTCGTTCATATGGCCAACTTCGTTTCTTTCTCAAAAGCATAAAATCTAAAAATATGAATTGGATGGCGGAAAAAGTGAGAGGCAAATTCACATTGAACCTTTTTTAAATCTTGAAAAAGGTTGAACGGATTGACAATGACGAATCAAACGCTAGATTGATTTTCTCTTTATATGTTTTTCCATGCAGATATCGGTATCAATGGCCAATGATTCGATTTCTTTGAATGCATCTGGAATGTTATGAACCAAATGGCTTACCTTCGATCAATCCAAGGCGATTGCGATGAATTTGAGGCGTCTAACTGTGTATCGTTTGTTGATTGATCGGAAAATCTCCTTGATGTAGGTATACTGATCGCTTATGCACTAGATGTCCGTTTCATTGACACGCAATTCCGTTGCAAATGTACCAAGCTGTTTGAACGCATGACGAGTGTTATAATGCTTGCTCACTGCACTAATATCAAGTATACTTTTCGGAATTTTGTGCACGCCCATGATCCGCTGGTAGATCATGTTGATGTCACCAATTTGCAACAGTTTATACAGGTCCAAATTTCGGAATACCTTTGTCAGTGCTGTTTCTTCAAGCAACGACCAATGAAACGGTGGCCGTGGGTTCAGCTTCAACCATGGACCATCCTTTTTGAATATTTGAAATGCACGTTGATCCACCTTTAACGAATGAAGTAAATGACGCGCTAGTTAATGAACACTTAATAATAGAAAAACATTTTCAAAAAATAATGAATAAGTAACTTTCTGCAAACTTGGTCTGGAACTTATTAACAACGACTGATTCAAAATACATAATCCTAGAATCATTGCCACTGTTCGTCTTAACCGCTACCGTATGACCATGTACTAAAAATTCAATCGGGCAATTCATCGCATGACATTAACATAGCTGTCAAATTATCAGCCATATTGACGCTCGTTTGTTTCAGTTGCGTCAAATGTGTTTGAGTGTCTTCATAAATAAAACACAATACAGAACGAGGAAATATTTTGATTATTAACTTCATTTATAGTATTATCAAGAGATTGAAAAGGAAAAAAAGTTTAGCTAAACTATTTTGTGGAGTTTAGACAAAAAATGCCAAAAAGTAGCGATAGCAGTGACGATAGTCAGGTTGATGCCGGAGAGACGACAAACATATCACCCATCGTGGAAGACTATTGCAAACGAACGTTCAAATGGGCTTCTTTGTTGTATGCTGAAATCATCGAAATTTTAGTGAGTCCAGGTGAAGATGCACAGCTTTTGAAGGATTTGGAAAATATATTAGCGGCACTTGACGATGAAGAGGTCGTCATGAAATGCCTCACCACAATTGAAGTAAAATTAAAAACAGCGGACGTTGAGAAAAAACTGAAAAAAAGCAGCGTCATTACGCCACCTAATCCATCGAAAAAGCGCAAAACGGCAGAGATCCAGCTCCCAATATGTAAATCAAAAGGCGTCGCACACACAATGAAAAACCTTGCCAAATTTGTGGGTTTATTTGAAGCGGAGGCGATACGTATAAATCGAAAGAATGAATATGGATCAGCAGATGAGTCTAGAATATATCAACTGGAAGTGGATGCAAATGTGTCCAAGGATTTACTGCTGAAAGCTCGTGAAAATCTAAAAAACATTATAAATAAGATGAAGGCAAAAGGAATTTCATCTGTCGCTAGTACATGAATTTGTCGAATCAACAACCAAACAGGACTTCCAGTGCGAACGAAAAACCATTTTTTTTTATTTCATTAAATAAATTTATCGTCACACAGCTATTAAAAATTTATCTGTTCGATTCCATTTGAGTTTGCTGCCATGTCCAATTTTCAACTACAAAAGCCAAAAAAAAGTTCAAAATTAAATAAAAAATATTCAATAAAATCACTTCTTGTGCACTCTGCAACTGTCTCACTTGTTTTATTAAAATCTGTAAACATTTTATCTGTGGAAACCGTTTGGTTTCTTAACTCGCTGCCAGCAAAACAATACTTGACTGTTTAGAAAAACGAATTTGAAACAGTGAAGCGTCAATCTTTGCACATCATGTGCTCAAAATTTCCTCCAATATCGACTGCACTTCTGGGAATGTTGCTCCACTAAATCGTTGTCGTTGCACAAGCGCTGAATGAAAATGATGACAAAATAAAACAACCGATAAATTCTATTGAACGATAAACGTCAAACCAAGTTGACGCACATTTTAATACAATGAGAACATTTTTTTTGTTGCAATTTTGATTCAAAGTCTTATTGGTGTTTTGAAATGTAATTACACTATTTGACAGTTAGGTAATCAGCTCAATGCCAAAACAGAAAACCAGTGCTTGAAAGAGAAAGAGAATATGTTCAAACATGGAACGGTGCAAGAGTTTATATTGTGTATTTTTGGTTAATCGCTAGAGCGTGCGATAATCAATGGAGCCGTGAACGTTTCATTGACGTGTTATAATCATCCAAGTGTTCGTATCTCGGTCATTTTGCATTTATCATGAACATTTTTTCCTTTTAACAAAATTGTTTGTACTCAAACTGCTTGTTACATGAAAAATAAGCACGTTTGCCGTAGGTTTCAAATGAATTCAACACATTTTCTAGATTCATTTTTATCACAAACGCTGCCTCCGAAATATCGGAGTCGTAGCGCTTATCCTGAACTGAAGCTGAAGTCATTTGTCTTCTCTTTAAATCTCTTAGTGTCAAAAAGTAAGATTCACCTTAAAATGTAACATGTTTTCAGTACAGCAGACACTTTTGCAAATAAATAAAATCATAATTTAATTAAATGAAAAGGAACACGTCCGAAGCATGGCAAAATTATTTTCAACAACTAAAAAAAAAAACAAAGCACAGTCGTAATCACAAAGTCTTAGAACTCAAGTAAAATAAGATCTGTTGTATACATGTGTAATTGAGAAAGGGAGAATTTTGTTTTTCATCTCAAAGTGAAAACGATTGATCTGAATGATGATTTGAATTGTTTTTAAATACAAAATTAAAGCGAAAAATAAATAATATAGAAAAGAATTGTGTGAAAAAATGGGAAAAATACAAAAGAAAAATCGGATTGGTTAAAAAATTGTGTTTGTGTTTCTTTCCCCGTTTCGATTAAATATTCTATTTAATAAATTAATAAATACTAGATGTTATCTTCATGCGTTCAAAAGAACATATCATTTCCCATGTTCTCGTAATAATGTCTTTCTCTTTTCCGTTTGTTTAACGATCTATCTATTATAGTAATTCAATTTGTATTTTTTTTTCTTCTTTGAATGTTGCATAATTTTAGCGAGAGATTTTACTCTTGTTTCTGAATACAGGTCACTACTATTGATATTTCGAGCTCATCTTTTCTGTTTTAAAATAATACATCTACTATTTTGTTTTGTTTACTTAGTTTTTACAATTTATAGTTCAATAGAAGTTGAAAATCGTTTAGCTTGATTCGTTTGAAATAGTTAGAATTTTAACTACACGATTTAAGCAGTTAACATTTATTTGCACGTGTGTCGTATTGCTAAGGAATATCTGTATATATAGTCCAAAATTTGCTAGTAAGGAAGTGTTGTTGTCAGCTAAAAGTTTCTCATTAAAATGAAGAAAATAAAAATAAATCACGATTATGATGCTAAATGATCACGACATACTGACACCGAGCGCTTGACTTGTATATTCATAAGTAACATAGCTAATCGAAACGGCGGGCAAAACTTTAATGAAATTCGGTGTGATTCCACGATATAGTCCGGTGATGCCTTCGGTTTCGATGATGCGTCTAAAAATGCCAGACATTGTGTGCTCTGGTTGGCGAATAGCCGGCTGTTGTTTGCTATTGTTGATGACCTGCGCTTGTAGCCTGGTCCGAATCAACGCCAATGGGTATGAGCACAGTTGACCGATAGAACTCGATGCCGTACCACAACCCAATAAAACGAAGAAACTTGGTCGCTCGCCATCCATCTCATGCTTATTCAAATATTTTCGCTTGAGAGTTTCATAAACAGCCAAATCGATCCCAGCGTAAGGGACGATTCCTGGTTAAAAATCACAGTTATAGAGCATTAATTGTATAGAAGGTGAGAAGAAATCCACTTAAAAACATACAAAACCAAAGTGATAAGCAAAAAAGAATGTATCTTTGGAAACTAACCTAGAATATTTGGGACGTATCCACGATAAAAACTGCATATTCCTTCATTGGCATGAATTTTTATTGCCGCATCCAAAATGCCTTTGTATTGGCCGGTTTTTCTTAAAGCTAACCTCGTTTTCAATACTTCCAATGGATAGATTATTGTTTGGCTAATTCCACCAGCACATGCCCCAGCCATGAACCTAAAATCAAAATGTAACGCAATGGATGAGAAATCGAATAAAAAAAGTGTAAATTTAATTCCAAAACCAAAACCTGCCTTTCATAAATACTAAGTTGTTTCTGTTCATTTTGTCTGATAAGTTGTTTAACCTTTTCGTATGCAGCAAATTTGAGAGCTGTTTCAGGCGCAATTTTGAGTACGTTGATACCGTTGCCACGCCAAAAACTCCGTATACCACCCTCTTTCAATAAATAAATAAAACTATCGGCAATTCGCACACGGTTCGTTTGAACTTGTAAAAACACTTTAAGTCTATCTAATGGTGCGGTGCACGTACGTGATACGGCTCCGGCCACCGCTCCCGCCGCCAAATGTCTCCATCCGCTGGCGATTTCAGGCACAAAATTGTCTTCGCCTACATCGAGATACGTAGAATGTCGCCAGAAATTGATGATGTGATGAATGTCATGGGAAGGTGCCAAAAGTAGAAAGTCTCTCCATTCGTCATAGCTAATTATCAATGTATCATCCTGATCGACACGTCTCAACAGTTTCAACGCTTCATCAGCGTCAATATCGATGCCCAGCTCCTTGAATCCCGATATCAAATCATCCAAATTCACTTTGCCATCACCGTCCTTATCCAAATGTGTGAAATGAAGCAGTAGATTTTTCTCGTGCTCGCGTACATAATGAATAAATTCGGCTAAATTCACATGACCACGATTGGTTGTGTCAGTTTGTCGTAAAAATGTTTCCGCATACTGATGCGACAGGTGGATGTCTTTCAATGCCTCACTTAGGTCATGAATGTCAATTTGTCCATTGCCTATTGAAAATGAAATCAAAACGGAAAAATCAATAAACACGAAAAATTCCCATTTCAACATACGGCGAAGCAATTCGAATCGATTTCATACCATTTCGATCCAGTTGGCTGAACAGTGTTTCATATCGCTTTTCGGCTGCGAGTGGCAATTCATGTAAATAATGCACGGGATGATTGCTTGTGTTTGTGTGAAGGTGACCAGCTGTGTTTACATTTTTACTCTCGGTCTGAAATTTTTCGCCAACATCGTGACATTTTTTGATTATTTCGTCTGCAGATGACGATGACATCTATGGAAAAGTACGACAGAAGAAAAAAATATGTCAAGAAATCATGAACTAGGTGGCTTTGATAAAGAGCAATCGGGACGATGATGAAAATACAAAATGATTTATCAAATATGACACGGTTGTCGCTCATTAAAATATCAACAACAACAACAACTTGAATACGGGACGTTTGTGGTTGTAGATATTTCACAAGCCCCGACCGCACACAAATGAAAAATAAAATACGTGAATGTTGTCGCAGTGTTTGAAATACGCCAGTTTCATTAGATAACTTTCATTTATGCTCTGTGCTGCGCTACTTTCTCACTCTATGTATATGTATTCAATGCCAATGAGAAATGTGAGAACTACGCCAAATGCCGAAAAAAACAAACACATGCGATGCAAACGATACATACACGAATGCGTATCGCATTTATGGGCTACAGCATATTGGCATCAATTTCAATTTTTGCACACACACATATTCATACTGACTCATTTCAAAACCATTCCATTCACTTATGACTGGGCGCAACAAAAAATGCGATATTTTCATTTTCACTTTCGCTCAATTGTCAATTCGAATAATTTCCGATGTTAAAATTTGGTTCTTACCACAGATGACATCACGGCAATTTTAAAAGCAAATAGACATTTAAATGAAAATTTTCATGTATAAAAATCACCAGTTGATGCACTTTTGAACGACGCTTAATGGGAATTTTCTGCAAATTTCTTAATTGGTTTATTTTGTTTTGTTCAGAGTAAATTTTTTTTTCATTACACTTTCGAATGTGAATATCGTAGTTTTGCTACTTTCAAACGCAAAATTTCAATGAAACTTTCGATTTACGGCCACAATAATACCGGCAAACAACGCCAAAACATAAATATTGATTGCAACGTTACGATTTTCACAGCACTTTGAGTCAGCATAATCACTCTTGACGAAATACACGAGCCAACAATCGAATCAATGCCAGGCCATCCATCGAATTAGTACGAAGAAAAAAGGGAAAATTATGTTACTCGTGTACAAATGACAGCTGGAAGCGAACACACTGTCAAACAACGAAAAAGTTTTTTTTAATATCGATGGGCGAATTCGCCCAAAACAAAAAGCAAATTACAAACGTCATGATAAAACATTTGAACGGTTTTTGTGTTGTTTTTTTTTCTATGCTTTTGAAAGGTGGCGCATAATGAAAGGTTTTATGTTGCGAAGTACATGATGCGAACCAACGGATTTTTGTTCAATTTCGAATGGAAACTCGATGAGATTATGAGTTGTAAAGGGAAAGAATGTGTTTGTTTACAGAATTGTAAATTAATCGGTCATTTTAGGTGGTAATTAGGAACAAAATATAAATTGTTTTTGTATTTTTTCCCTTTGCATATTTTGAATTAAAATTTAATGCTGGAACCTATTAACTCACACCGAACAATTATGCACTGAATACAAAGTGCTATGAAAAATATCAGAAGAAATCCAGATTTAAAACAAACCAAAAATAACAGATGGTTGCTACGTAAGTGTTCAATTCTACGCAATCCATGGATGAAGACAACAATATTATTTCCAATAAAACAAGCCCAACATACTTCGCCCATAGCGTAAGAAAATGAAAAGAGCAAATGCCACATTCTTCATTTTCCATGCACTGTGTACACTCACAGTGGACAAAATTTCTCGATGCACGTTCAACTCGAGCTCCGGTGAGCACATCTCTCGTTCTTTTCTTATCCGATGAATGTGGATTGCATTTGTTTAGGATTCATTTGATAAATACCACTACGTTCTACACTATACTCACTTGAAAAATCCTTGTACGCTACAGCCATTTATTGTGATTTTTTTTTAAACACGAATGTTGTATGTGGATCATGTAGATTGATGGAGTGCATGCGATTCTTTCTGATAATGGAATGACAAACACGTGTTTCTACCGTAGTGCACTTGAATTTGAATAACAATAATTCACTAGAACTCTTACGCTTTTTCCGTTGAGATTTTATCGAGAGCATTTGCGACAACTAAAAAATGGATGGTGTGTATTGTACATGTCTGACTTTCCATAAGATTCTCGATTCTTTAGTGTAGTTTATCAGGCCACAAGCCGCCTCTTGGTAACAAATGCCACACCCGCGCTCAAAAGCATCGGTTTGAAATGAACAATGAACCGTAGTGCACTTACCTCTTACGAATCAATTCTTTCATTTCCTTGAAACGCAGAAATTTACAGCACACAACCGATCTCATTGATAACAAATACTTGGTTTTTTTTTGCTTCACATTTATTTATTGAGTAGTTCAAGTCTGACAAGGTTTGGTTGTTAATTCCATTAAAATGATTATTATTGTTGATTCACTGTATTTGTCTTATTTGTTATTAACAACAATTTATGATATTTTCGACCTGTTTTATGTTTCTTCCTTCCTTCATTCACTTCGAAATGCTTTGAATTGTGTGACATTCGATTAGGAATTGAAATCGGATCAAACAAATCTTTGAATGGATATGAAAGTACGAATGTAAATCTTTTTTTTGACAGCAGATTCTTCTCTCTTTTTTGCTCCATTTTTGAATGAAAAAACATACGATTCACATTGGGTTGTAAAAATGGTGTCGGACGATTAATTGCCAGTGTGTGTTTGAAATTATTTCTCTTTTCAAATCCTCTGAAACCATATAATTAATTAAATGGCGGAGTTTTGTTTACCTCGACGCAATGGCTACGAGCGAATGTGGTAAAACGATGAAACATAATTGAGGCTGTGAGAATGAAAATGTCAATACAGGAATGAACATTCTGAAACGCATCAAGAAAAAAAAATTCGCAAAAGTGAATCATGAGTTCTGAATACGCAAAATTGAACCATGAACCTCCAATGCTACCCATGTAAATTCATGTTTCACTTTTGCATATTCAGAACTCATGATTCATTTTTGCGAATTTTTTTTCTTGATGCGTTTCAGAATGTTTATTCCTGTATTGCCATTTTCATTCTCACAGCCTCAATTCGAGTATTTCATTTTACTGTCTGTAATGCATTTCTGCGTTCAGTGGTTTGGATTTTTTTTTTAAATTGAATGGCTCATGTGTGCATCTTCGCAATGAACCGACATAAAACATATAGAAATGGCTTTTTTCAACTTGTTAATGCACCTGAGCCACATAATTTTCCCATTTTACACACTGGAAATATAAACTTTAAAAGAGAAAGAGTGAGAATGGCTCTAAGCAAATTTATATTTCTGTAACGATGAAAGGGTTCTCTTTTCCTTCTTCTTCGCTTTTATGCTGAATTCAATGCTGTTTTGTGGTTACGCAATGCCATTATCTAGTCACTCACATTTAAACAATCCTTTGTGTAGGCATATCGAACGGTGCAAATTCTAATTTCTCTTGAAAAAGGAGTATTTTAATTACTTTGGGCGTGTAAAAATGTTGAATTGTGGTAAGTTGGCTGTATTATAAATCCCTTTTATGCATCTTTTGCAGGGAATTCCAGTGAAATTGAATCGTTCAATTTGAATGGAAGAAAATAAATTCCAAATATTGTAGCAAACGACTATGTACCGTTCGAAATTGAATTCATCCAATGGTCTCCCATCATCTTAGTACGACCTATATCATCGCCGTCGATAAAATAAATCTCTTTCAACTGTATCGATCAGAACATTTGTAAGATATGTAAATCCAACAAAAAAAAACAATTACTCAACAATATAAAAGAAAAAAGACTATATTTTTGATAGTTTTTGAAGTTTGTAAAACAAAACAAAAGTTTACACAGAAAATAACATATTATTTTGGTTCTTGTTAATGGACCTTGATTAACATTCAACAGTTAGGATTATTTTTATTATCAATATGTTTTTGTTTTCATTTATAGCTAGATTTTTCTGTTTTATATAACGTCAATATGAGTTTTGATTATCGATTTCCATTTGCTAGTTACATTTCAACACCGAACACATATCAACGTTCCTCCTCGTCATCATTGCACAATGTTATCTTATTTCAATTTTTCTTATAGTTTTTTTTTCTTTGTTCGTCACTAAACAACAAAATAAAGCAATTAATCAATCAATGCAAAAAGAATCTTCGCTCCTTATCGTGCGCGTTCTCTCGCCGTCTTCGATAATCCTTCAAATATATTTGTTTTAACAAAATTTAGGCACTAAAAACTAAATAAACTAACCTTAAAATTAGAATCAATAGAATTGTTTTGTTTCCTTTCTTTGCTCATGTTTTACATAAATCGTATAATAAACGTTTCAAATTGTCACAGAACATATTCATCTCAATATTCTATAAAGTCAATTTTTTTTATATATTCGAAATTTGTTTTTGTTTTGCCGAATTTTAATTTCCAAAGCATTTATAGATTCATATAATAAATTTGTAAATCGTTTTATGAAAGAAGGTAAATAGTTTGATATGGTAAAAGTGAAATGTCCATTGTTTGGTAATTAATTTTTTTTTCAATATTTTTGTTTGTCTCTTTAAATATAATTTACAGAAAACACTAATGAAATACCACTCACACCCATTTGCAAGTGATAAAAAGAGAGTGGAATTTATGGCGAAAAGAGATGTAAGATTCAGGGAGAAAAGACTCGTAAGCTCCTTATAAGTGTGGCCAACACATTTAATAGGCATTCGGCTTGCAGAGCTTGTGCTCCGGCACCGAGTGGGCCGATTTGAACGTTAGCTAATTCACGAAAACTGGACGCAACATCGTGCACTTTCAGTACAATGTTTCGCGTTTGAAGTGGTGCCGATGTGTGCTTGGTCATGGCCTGAGCCAGTTCAGTGATGCGTCGCAATGCGGTTAAACAGGCTGATAGATGTTCGGGTAGTGTGGTTGGTGGTGTTTTTGACATTGTAGCAACCAGAGCCTTGGATGATGTGACTAGTTGTGTGGCGATTTCAGTTAATTCATTGCGTGCCTTTTGGAATTTTTCCTCATCGATTGATGCACCGCCGCCAGCCGATTGGGCGGCCTGACACTGGGCCGCAATTTGATCCAATTTCATTAGAAGCCCAGCCATTGCCAAATCTGTTTTTGCCATAAGAGATTCAACATTGATTACATGACCATTACGCGATTCTAATAAAGGACTTCCATTTGCACTAACTGGGGGAGATTTGATTGGTTCATGGTTCAGTTTTCGGTTCATTTGTGGTGAAAATAATACCGAAACTGAACTACCATTTTCTTTGGGACTTTCACTATTGAAACGAAAATGGCCGTTCGTTAAACGTGGTGACAATTGGATGGGTGGACTGGTGCAACCGTTTCCATTGGTCATCACTCTGTCTGTGTTTTCGGATGTCGGATAACGTTGGAATCGTGGCGATACAATACCTGCGATCCGTGAATCGGAGTTTATCATTTTTGGGAGTGGGATCGGTTGTCTAAACACTGGTTTAACGGGAACAGGTGGTAAGTTTGGTTTGCGTGGTGGAAGTGTGCTCAATATTGGAGATGCAGGCTTTGGTGCAATGGGGAAAACTTTTTGTGGTGTCGTTTCATAGTAAACTCCATTTCCGCCGCCATTCAATCGAAATGTGTTGGTTAAACTTGATTTACTCGTTGGAGATGCGATTCTAGCTTGTAGATCATTGCTTTTGGGTGGCCGTTCTGGTGGAACGGGCTTCTCTTTGTGCTCACATCGACGCGGTGGCAGTTCCAAGTTTGGATTTTTTTTCACATTACTTTGAACACTCATGCCATTTTCGTCTTTCTTATTTTTTGAACAACATGAAAATGGGCCTTTGCGTTCGACTGTGGCATAGTCAATGGTTTTGTTTTTAGCACCCAATGATTGTCCATTTTTCGATGAATTCATATACAAAGACTCTTCGTGATGGGAATTCGATTTGGATTTTTTACCATCCAATTCGTCGTCACTCAGACAGGGTGGAGGGGGGATGATGTACGACATAATTTCTTCGGGAGTCAATTCTTTGGCCGGAGTTATTTTTTGTGTGGGAGGTGCAATTGCAACTTGAGCTAAAAATTTCTCTAAATCACCGTCTGATTGGGCCGTCTTATCGCCGAATCCCGATGGTGCCGCATTCAAAACATTCAAAGAGTCCAGTTCGTCCGGTGTTTGCTAAAGGAAAAATGAATATTGATGATGATAATTAAAAATGTTTATAATAATGAAAATCCAAAGAAAAATAGACTGTATCAAGTCGAAATTTTCGACTCGAAACTCATTGAAATTTATTCTAAAAGAAAATTATCTATTGGAAAAAGATAAACTCGACAAAAAAATTACCGGTGGTGGAATAGCCGTCAAATCAATAACATCCGGATCTGATTCGATGAATGTATCGTCTCCGATTTCGAATCCATACAGTTCGCTCAGCTTCTTTGCTGCCAGATCAATGTCAGCGCTGTCTTTGCTGCTAGCCTCCTTCAGCAATTTCAAATACTCGCGCAAATTGGTGTCTTTATTATCGGGACCAAGCGTTGAGCTGTCTGGGCTGTGCAATCCAAAACTGGTGCGAAACACTTTTTTGCGTTCGGCCGGTTGCGGACGATGGATCGGTGAGCCGGTTGGAGTGTTGATTGACTCCGAATCACTTTCGCTTTGCGACAAATCATTGCTAATTGCATGCAAATCACTTAGCAACTGACTCAACCCTTGCACTTTACGTTGTGGTTTTGGTGTATTCTCTTGCGATTTATTGCCACCATTGGTGCTTTCAAATCCATTGGCTCCAATCAAATTCAGTCCTTTAGTAATTCCATTCAAATCCAAATTTATGGATTCCGCCAGTAAAACGAGTGAGTCACTATGCTTGAGAACGCCTGGTGCTGGTGTATCTTCATTCGAAGATTGCTTACTGCTATTCATACTATCGCAATCGCTATCAAAGTCGAAATTTTGCCATGGTAACCGTGTATTTGTTTTCATGTCGCACTCGTGCACCAATTCGCCTTGTTCATTCAGATATTTCTCCGAATTTTCCACCATCTTCTGCATTTCGGCCACTCGCCGCAACACCTCCTCATTGCGTGTTTCAATCAATCCATTGATCGGTTTGCCCTTAGTGCCTTCGAGTATTTCCATGGTCATAACACTGTGTATGTCAAAACCGAATTGATCGACTCCGTTTTGTTGTTTGTGGTTATTATTGGTCAGCGTAGTGTTCATATTACTATCACATTGATTGGGATCGGCAACGATGTCGATCGGTAACGATGTCACCGAATGATATGGTGGCGGATTTATAAATAGCATATTGTGTGCACGTCCATGCGCTTGCGGCAAATAGTTCCATGTTGATGGCAACACTGAATGTGGCGTTAAAAATGGTGGCGCTATCTCCTCCATTTCCTCTTCAATCAACTGTTTATCGATAGGCAATAGTTTTCCTGTGAATATCCCGAAGAAGAGAAAATAGTAAATATCTACCGTTTATTATTTGGCCACGAATTCGTCGGCCATGATTCAGCTTACCTGTCAACAGTTTATGGTAACCGACTAGGACTAGTGAAAATTCTAGAGCATCGCGATCTTCCATCATAAATGATACTAAACGGTCCGGTTGCATATAAATACTAACGGTATGGGTGATATCATCTTCGCGCGTTATAACTAATCGACTTAGGCTTTCTATACTACAAATTGTTTGTGGCTGAAACGAAATAATGCAAATAGGTGAGATTCCAAATTCCATTTTGATTGGGATTTCCACAAATATGGAAAACTAAACTGGTTTTTGTTCTAATCTCGATGGCAACACAGTATCCGAACATACAGGGGAGGTTTCTCATGCGCATAATCAATTAATCTGAGATTGATTACAGATGTTGGGTTTTCCAAGTTTTTCTGCACGCCATCAACTCAACGATGAGTCATTATTTAGTCATTAAAAGCGAAAGTGGCAACCGTTTGGCCGCATTCTACTTTTACAAATGCAAAATAATTTAAATACACCGACCTTTTTCCTAATGGATTATTATTAAATTAATAAACTAAAATCTGTGCTGTCGTATGCCGAAGCAACAAGCGTGTTTTCATCGGTAATTAGTTTCATTTTTTCTCGCTTTTTCTTTCTCTCTCCCTCTCTGCCGAATGACGGATCGCGTGTGTTTAATTTGGCCTGTGTTTTATGACTTTGAGCCATACGCTGAAATCCGAAATGCCGAAGCATTAATGTCAGTTTTATGTTCCACGCACAAATATACATCATTGTGTCATCATTATGGTTTTGCGAATAACAGCAAAGCGCGATGCGTGCAATTGTTTTTCCGCCAGTGTTTCCCCCTCCTACTCTCTCTCTCTCTCTCTCACTCCGTTGTGTCAAATGAGCGTTTGTCATATTTTGTATGACGAATCCGCGCGAAATGATGACAGTATTTTTAATTAAGTGAACTTCTTCATTGTTATGTAAATGGAAAATGGGTTTTCATCCATCTAAGCATACGCGACTACGTCGAATAAGTGATTTTCCTTATCGGCACATTTTTTATTGAGTCTCTTTCTCTCATTTCGGTAGCTCATTGTTTAATGACTGATGAGAACCTACATTTGCCAGCTCAACTGAATGACGTTAATATGGCAAAATGAGAATTGCTATCTCTCATCATGCGATGATAAGTTTAAATTAAAACTTATTGACATTTTAGATGGAAGTCAGAAAAAGCACCAAATTATTATCGCTGCTCTATGTTCAACCTGATGGAAACTTTTCTCATTGTGAATACAGTTGATTTCAAGTCAAATCGTCAATATTCCAGAATTAATTGCATTCTTCTCAATATGGTCTTTCTTCTTATTGATTTGCGCTTATTTAAACATTTAATCCCTTCACCCTGTCACACTGCTCTCCTCCCCCTCAGAAAATCAGAAAATATTCGCGAGATAGTGAATATGTATTCTCCTTGCTCCATCACATAATCCTTATTGCACCACATTTTCATTTCGCTGGCAAACAACTCTTTCGAATACTTCCTATGTCCCGCTTTAAAATCGTCCGTGTCGTTTGCTGTCAATGTTATCTAGGGGTTTCACGCAACTTAAAATTCATCTAAAATTTCAATATTTCTCTCTTTTCTCTAAAATTCTCTGGGATTCACCAAAATCCGTATTATTTCGAAATATTTCAACATTCACCTTGAAAATTATGTTCTGGAAGTTGGTTTTGGTTGATCTCCAGGATCGTTCAAAACTGCTCCCGGTTCTGGAAGTGGGTTTTGGTGGATCTTCAGGATGGATCAGACTGGGTTTGACAATGCCCTGGTCCATCCTGAGGATCCACTTCCAGAACCAGGAGCGGTTTTGAACAATCCTGAGGATCCACCAAAACCCACTTCCAGAATTTTTAGATTCAAAAAATTCTAAAAAATTCGAGTTTATGAACAAAAAGAAGCAATATCTATAGTTTACACATAAAATGGTTTTATTTCCAGCTATTTAGTAAAATCTTCGGCCTTCGAGTTTGCGTGAAACCCCTAGAATGTTATGGCATTGATGTGCTCGAAATTAAACCTCGTTACGGGAAAATTTCATAATAAAAGTCAGTTTGTATGCTTTCGAAAACGGATGTTTGATGGTAATGAGGAGCGTAGACAAAGTTTCAAACATGTTACCTGAGCAAGCGAGCGAATAAACGAACGAAAGAACAAACAAATTAAACAGGCAACATTTTCATTCATCAAACCTTTTTTTTTTAACAGCAGGTTGTGCGAAACAACATTTTGATAATGTTCTCGTGCATCGATCCATACTGCCTGGCAATATGGTAGGCAGGTTGTGTGTTTTTTGTCATTTTTTCACCCGAAAAAATTATCACCATTTGCAGTAATAATTTAGTACTAATTTAGAATGAAAACCGTCATGTTCATTACATATAAACTGTTACAATGGCCGAACGGAAATGAGTGCTTTGTTCCGGCAAATGTGCCGAATTTTATGCTTGTTTGAATATTAAAACGGCATAAACATAAAGCCGCGATTATTTTAGTCGATATAAAATTTGCATAGCAGATTTAGAGGCGCAACTGTCATATCGCGTAAATCAATAATATGGACAAAAATCAGCCATAAGCTGTCAAAGCTCCAACTCATCATCCTCACTGTATGTCACTCTCCATCTCCCCGGTATACTGTTCGAGGGAAATGCTAAAAAGAAAGGGATTAAAACATAATGATTGGTTCGTGTACTCACCACTGAATTTCGAATTCCCGGTATTTGACTAAGACCGAAACGTGGACTAACTAATAAGACTCGTTCGATGCCATCGCGAGCATTTGTGCTGAAGCATTTCGCACCATAGCTCGGCAATCCCGATATTATGTCCAAATAATGAATTTTAGCCTGATGGTTGTAGGTCCAAATGTGAAAAGAAATTTTTCAATGGGAAAAATTATGGGGAAAAAAAGAAGATCGAAAATAAATTCCATTAAAATTACAATTAATTGAATTTGCGCCGGATCGACAGGCATAAAAACGACGACGCATAAAATATTTCATGATGAAAATAAAAAAAAATCACCCTTAATTTGATGTCGACATTCCGGTTAAATAATATTTACTAAAATTGATATATTTCAAGTTGATCGGTTTAAGAACATTTTCGCTCCCCCTCATTTTCAATAAAGTGTTCATCATAATGAAATAAAGGAAGAAGGAAAAGGGCGGCGAATGCGAGGGAAAATTTTGAGGTTTGAAGACCAACATTTCTAATTAAAATTGATTTTTCATTTCTCTTTTTTTTTCTTTCTACGGTTGATTCAGTGACTGCGAGAAAAGCCTCGACTCTGAAGTTTTGACACATTCACAGACGGTTAGAGGAATTTGTTAATTAAACAGCATGGATTTTGCCACAGTCGCATCGTTATCATCATCATCAACATCGCTAATGTGTAGTATCTACTTTAATAACTGTTTGTATGCGGCTGTGGAAAGTTTCGACATCCATTTAGCAGCCACATTGTCGGAAAAGGCGAACAAATTAAATCACGGAAAATTTTGAACAACAACAAATCACAGAGAATATTGAATAAAAACATTATTCATTTACAATATTCTGGCTTTGTGAATTTGACGGGAAATTATAAAGAAAAATCATGTCATTAACAATATAATCGCTAAACATCCGGTAATTTTGGAATAATTTTTTTTTCCGCTCCGGTTCGAATAGATCAATAACTCGTAACAATCGCGGAATTTGATAGTTCCATGCAATATAATAATATGATGAATGGGCTGGATAATTGAATGCTTGTTGGTGTATCGATTGTTCGATATGATTTATGGTCAGATCGTATCAAGGATACATATTCATCGATTCCATTATACATGCGAGAGAGGAAGAAAAAATCGCGTCAATTTCAAAACGATGAAAAACATGAAGCAGCAGCAGTAGCAGTAGTAGTAGTATCCACATCATTTCAATTCGAAATCAATCAACGCGTGGTTTAGTTCTGGTGTCGACTCACAATTATATTGCAACCGACTTAATTCAATTTTATTTATCGATGTTTCACTGATTGCCGTTGCCTACGGGGAATTCGGTTTCATTTTAATCAACGCTTTCGAAGTGCCCAGCCTGAATGTGTGTAATGTGTATATTTGTTGTTGTCTCATGTCGGCGCTACGCAATTTATCTTGTGTAAAAATCATGATCTCTCCATCGTAGTCATGTGTGAACATCGAAATCGCATTCCCATCGCCTAAAACAGTTGGAAGTTTGCGTATGTACTACTATTACGTATCTCTCTCTCTCTCTCTCTCTCTCTCTCTATCTGTCTATCGCTCTCAATTTTACCCTGGTGCCTATTTTTTCGTCGTTGCTCATATCGAAATTGATACGTAAAAAATCCAATAAAAATCTACACGGATTGCAGTATATTTATTTATTGTTATATGTATTTTATCATGAAGCAGACAGGGGAAATGGCGAAAAAAAAAATTTGCGCAGCTTGAAATCATTCCCCCGAGGAAACCGATACTTATTCGACGAACACACCAGTCGGACCAAGCATACAAACACAGCAACTATTTATTTCCCATTCCATTTGAAGCATCGAAGCATCCTTATTGAAAGCTATGCTATTCCATCCATCGAACGAGAAAGAGCGAAAAAAATGTGTGTCTGTGGCACCGAAAAACACGCAAATTGTGACACAGGCAATCAGTAAACATTAATAAAAGTGTTGAATGGGTTGACGGAAACAACGACGTCCAAAAAAAAGCGATCCGATGCTTTTCATATTGAACTTGTGAGCGTAGATAACACGTTGCTTTTGCTTTTTTTGCTAGCGAAAAACTTCACGATCAGACGACTTTAATTTGAAATGCTTCAGTTTTACTACGTTCCAGCCAAGTGTGATTTAATAAAACAAGATGACATTAAGCTCGAGCTTGCATCGATGCAATATCCGATAAGTTTGTAGAGAAAAGTCTCGCCGAATGAAAAAAAAAACAAATGCAATCAACCAATCTTGTCTGCTCTATCGATGAATTTTACTCGACGTCTCCAATAAGAGTTACGTTCATCGGATAACCATGGTAAAATCTCCATTGTTTAGAGATTTACAAGCCAAACAATTTTCGCTGAGCTTTTTGAATTTAATTACGACAAGTCCTACGATGGCAAACGAATGCAACAGTTCAGCCAAGAATGTTCAACATCAAAAGAAGTAGGTGACGAGGGTGAAAAAAAAAACGATGATGGGTGATAAAATGGTCGTTCGTAGCTCACCTGTAATTGGGTTAACATTTTGCTGGATCCAGTCATTTGTTGATTCAACTTTAAAAAGTGTCCAATTAATCGCCTCAACTCTTTTCGCTTCATACTTTCGATCAGCGACATTGGCACGAAGCGCTCCAAACCAAATTCACGTCTGAAACAACGAACAACATTAGGTTTAAATTTTTAAGATTTTGTAATCGATTCGAGAAATTTAATAAAATTTATAACTTTGCGGCCGAGTTTCGATTTTCATATCTGATTTATTCAAAGAAAATCTGCATAATAAAAGCTCCAGCAATATTGTAAACAAAATTGTTATCAAAAGTTTGAAATTAGCATATCGCCTTAGTTTCCATATGTTATATGTATACGTGCGTGATAGCATTGTGAGGCGCCGTTAGCATACAATATTAACTACTATGAATAAACTTTAAAACTATCACAAATTTATGGCATATCAAAACCGCTTCCATTTCGACGAATTCAAAGCAATCAAAGTCGAGTTTGTGATCAATAAATCGTGCAATATGCGAAATAAGAGAGAAATACTGCGTATATTAAACTTATCGTGTCGATTACTCTCATTTTCAAAAACACTATCCGAAGAATATATACGAAAATATCACAGAAATGGGAGCTCTAAATCGATATTTTTTGTTGAGTATTTTAAGAATAAATCTTTTGTTTTTCTTCTTTTTTAAGTTTTGTTTCGAAGACTTTTATCACTTCATATTTGTAAAAAAAAGAGAGACATAAACGCAGTGAATGTTGAGTACTTATTCAACTTTTCTACATGAAAAAATGGCTCTTTCCTGGATTATCAACCATTTTGAAATGCTGGAATACCAATAAATCATTCAGAGGTCGTCTGTTCCATGCTCAGCCGTCGAAACTTTGTTAATATGTCTGAGCATCAAATTATTGCTTCAAAATTACGCGCTTGAAGATTGAGCCTTCACATAAAGTTTTGTTTCAGTGGAATGCGCGTGAATGTGTGTGTGTATATGCGGAAACACCATCATATGTAAAATTACAACGTGAAGCAACATAACCCTTTACCGAATGAATTTCATAGGAAAATTTAATATTCGTAACATGTGCTGCAGTATCACCTATGAATTTTAAAATCTTCCATATGTTCCTCACGAACTGTCGCGAACACAATTGAAATTCAAATGAATTTAATTTCATTTCATTCCGTTTGATTAAAATGCGGATAATCCTTAACGAGCATGTCAACGGTGTTACGGTAGTTAAACGGTAATAAATTGGATTTTCGAAACAATGCAAGAAACAAAAGACAACAAGAGCAGCAGCAGTAGTAGTAGCTACGAAACAGGATATAAACAGATTTTAGGCTAGAGTAAAACTACGTGTGCGATCGCGTGCCCGTAAAAGTAACAGTGCGAATACTAGTAGCAGCTAAAGTACTTACTCAACAGTTTTAACAGTTAATTTCGCCGGTGAGATGTTATTGGCTAATGAATGCTGATGAATTTGTAGAGCAGCCAAACGGAGTGCAACATCTGGTTGAAGCTCGGGCGAGAAACGTTCCACGGTTACATCATTACAGCACTGCATGTACAGATAATCCAATGAGTTTAAGTCTTTTTGAGCTAGAGCTGCCGCCGATAATGGTACGAATGTCACGCGGAATAAACAGCGCAACTTATGAGCTCCAGGCCGTGCCGCTATCTACATCATTATCCAATCCGATTTCATTTTAAACCATGTGAAGAAAAAGATAAACGATACGAAAATTAGATTCAAAAATAAAAACATTCAAGTTGCGTAAACTGTAAATTGTGGGACTTTTTTCCTCTTGTGTTGCGAAAACATTTTCTATGAAGTAATTTTCCGCTTGTTATGCTCGTCCCCTAATCGATAGTAATATGTCATCTATGCTCAAACACGCAATCAACGATGTTTTTCTACTCATTTTTTTTGTTCATACATTGCGTATCGAATTATCCTCTTCACATCAAATTGACTTTCTATTCATCATCATCGAGTGGATATAGCAAATTTGTAGTTATTACCATGTTTGTCGTGCATAAGTTTGCACAGAAAACGAGCTCGTTCAATGGAAATTTTTATATTGTGAATGAATGCTCAGAAATAGCTTCGAGTGTGGCGAATGACTTTTAAACATGTAATTTTTATTAAATTGAAATTCTTGCAAATACTATATCAACTTTGTCATCGTGAATCGTTTACACTCTAAAAAATGTATTTTAATTTGTTTTTAATTTTATTCCACAAAATGTGTTCAAACTATGCCGGCAAGTTATCGTTATATTTTTCGAATTGCCGGCATAAGTAAGTAAAAAAAACTTAAAAACCCTTGAGAAATTCAATTCTAAAACTCAGACGTCTGATCAATAACAAAATCGACGTAATCTTTCTTCACATTTCCACCATGTCTCATTCACATACGACGAAGGAACCTTCTGTCATTTAACCACGTTTACATGAATATTGCAGAACCAATCGTCCTAATCTTCTTTCGAGATTGTCTTGAGATAAAGGAGTTGAGGCCATCGAAAGAGGTTCAAGAGGCTTAAGGAGGTCAATATCTGTTTCAGAATGTGGAATTAGAATCGTTTGAATGCTGAAATATGTGCGGTTATTTAACCATGCAGAAGAGACAGAAGACTATATCGATGTGACCATATGTTAAACCGAAGAATATTAAAAATCAATTCATGGATGTCTGGCATCGACTTAAAATAATGACCGATCTGCATCAGGGAAGTACGTACATGTAAAATACCAAATAAATAAAACTCCAACAAATTGATTAAACTTCCAATGATGTAAATCACAAGGGTTTGTGCTCACCAAACCAATGATAACCCACCGATATAACTCTTGAGAATGCAACAGTTTTGACTCTGGAATCGAACATACCCAGAAATCTGAACGAATCGATTCATTTCTCGATATAAATTAAGTGTTTTTTTATTTATGTAGCCTTGCAAGCCATTTCGACTCTCTCCTAAACCACATGGCTATCGAGACGATTTGTTCCTAAACACTTAAACTGTGGTCATAGTGAAACTTCCATTAAACTGTGCAATGTTTTCTGATTGTGACACAAGTCAATAAAACCCGAATGGATGTATATATAATATGTTTTCATATTGAAAACTTTGCAAACCAATAAAAGTTGATTTAGCATTGTTTGAAACCGAAAATTACAAACTGCCTGCAAGTGAAAATTGCCCTTTATATAATCGATTTGCTGTCGAATCAAATTGTTGCCAGTTCAACGTATCTAATTGGTTTGTGCCTTTTCTATTTATATCCACACTGTACTAAAAGCTATTTATTAAACTATCATCTTAGCTTGGCTTTGAAACCAAAGCCATTTCAATAAAGTGCTTGATTTCATGTTGGCTGCATTCGAAAGCAAAATTTCATTTGTTGTGTCTCGGTATGGGAAATAAGTGTGTGTGTGTGTGTATATAGTTCTTACCCGTGCCAGTGTTTCCTCGGGATCTAATAGCGTCAGTTTATTCCGTTTGAGGCTTTTCACATGCTCCAGCACCAAGCTAAAGTGTTCGTCGGCACTTAAACACAATTTATCTCGCAACGATGTGACGACATCCTATGGTACACGCAAACACAAAATGAAAATATATTATTTTATATGGAAAAGTGCAATGAAATTCCAGTTAGCTAGATTCATAATAATATTTCGCTCATACAGCATCACAACCGCATATTTTAACACAGTGTTTCCTTCAGACAGTCTCATTTGGTGATAAATCAAAACCACGAATCAAACAACTAATAATTTGATTCCAAACACACCAGACGAGCAGAAATCAAGGGAAAAACATTTCCGCTCCTCGTAAAGCGTTCTAATTATTCAAATTTAATTTCATTGAAATTCGATTGTAAATTCGTTGAATGCTTTGGCAAAAACCGGAATGGAAAAGATTCACCATCAGTAGAACGTTACTGCAATGCGAACAGTTTGAAATTTGCGATCTTTGTGTGTTGGAATGAAATTTAAACGTAGTAAATAAGTAGCCGGCTCTTTGGAATAATATTAGAATTTCCATCTCATGGAATTTGCATGCCTTAAATACGCATATAATTCGAAGTTTGTATGGAATTTTGGTTTATGTTTTCACCGAAGTTTCAAAACGAAAAAGAATCCAATTTTCTCCATTCAACATACAATTCTCGTCCCGAGTTGTAACTTACGGCCCGCTCATAAGTAGTGAAACCCAAATGAAAAACCGTACATTTTAAACTATTCACAATATTTCGAAGAAATTGCGTCTTATTCGACTGCATACGAGAGGAAAATGTGTCATATTTATTGAACACTGAACGGCTGAACAAAAAGACAGAAATAGAAAAAAAACTCACCCGAACTGTTGTTGTTGAATCGTATTTGAAAGATTTGGTTTGTCCATTTTCCAGAAAGACTTTGAGCACATTTGCCATTTGTGGCACATGCAAGTCACCCAACGAAAATGCAGACGGCTGAAAAAAAAGTTGAAAAGCATATTAAAGTGGATTATGCTTTTGTCAACGAAAGATTCACAATCTTATGACATATTCAATCCAAGGAAATCTTTTTCATCTATGGAGCAAAAAAAATGTTTCGATTATAATTTGTATCTTCAATACGGAGGAGTATAAGTAGAAAAAAATGGTTTAAAAAAGCATTGGCTGTTGAAATGGGTCAGACATATGCGCATTAAAACTGATTACCTATTGAAATAGATATTTTACATTTAATTTGCATGCAAGTTCATAGAAAAATTCTTTGCCTCAAACGTTATTCTCTGCAATTCCGTCAGTTGCCACATCAATTCCTCTCTTCACTGGATGAACGACCCATATGCAAATTATTGTGCAAAAACGTATTTTTTTTCATAAATTCTTCTCTACATATTTATCTAGTTGTTGAACATATTTTAAATATAAAATTTTGATACAACAAACACCCGATGAAACAGCGGTTTCTATTTAAAATGTGGCAGAACTTGAGAATGGAACAAAAAATAACCACACTCAGTAGAGTATGCATGTAAATTTCGGAACAGAAGTACGGAAAAAAATCGATGGAACGTATCAGAAACATACAATGGGCAAGTGCACGCAGCACGCAAGTGTAATTTGTAGGTTGATTCATTTTTATACTGTTGTACCGTTGCGATGTGGAAATAAAGGCAGAAAAAAACTTGGACGGCGTCTGTTTGCCCAGTTTTTGTTGTGTTCTTTTTTTGCTCTCTCTCTCTCTCGAAATAATATTAATAATGATTCGCATGCAGGCGCTTCGAGGAACATAAACAAAAGAAGTAATTTTTTTAACTAGTATCAAAGTGGTGGATATCAACGCCATCGACACGAAGTTTCGTGTTGAGTGAAAAAAATATCATGGGCGCAAGTAACAACGCAACAAAACAGCGGTTGGAACTCAGAGGCTCATTTTTCTGTTTTTCTCGGTGTTTCAATGTTCATGTTTCTATCCAGTGAGGTAGCAGCCAAGTAGCGATCTCATTAACACTAGAGTAGTTCATAATTTGCACTGCAGAAAGAGGAAACAAATCAAAAGGCACTCACACATATATGTATTTTTTTCTCTGTTCAAAACAACAGAAATGGAATTGTAGATGCACGAGAGATGATATCGAATAACGTGGCGTTTCATTTGATATGTGTTCCACCAATGAAACAAAGTCAACATCGCAAGAACTGTTGTAACGTTTATTCGATGCAAAATTTCGAGAATCGCGACACGAAATGCTTTCACATCCGACCAAAATGTGTGTATGCTCGAGTCATTGGATTCGTATGCAGAAAACGGTATCAAATAACAGGTGACTTGTGATCCATCGCATGACGATAATTGTGCCTAATGCAATTCATATTCATCACAAACTGTATGGCAGAGCAAAACACGACATATTTCCGTCGCCTCTGTTTGCCGTTGCCAAATCGATTTATCGATCAAATTTCTCGGTAATGGTTTATTCTTGGAAACAAATCATCAAGTAATCAAACACATTATTTACGGTTTTGCCTGTCCCAAATTCCAAGTAAATCGCCAACGGTTCATAGCGGACATGCAGCGTCAAAATATGATAACGAAGGGCAGCTATTTTTATTTGATATCCGAAAATAGAATTAAGGTCCATTTAATCATTTAATAATATCATGGGTTTCCCAGTTTCGTTGCTTTAGTATGTGTGAATATGTAAAGTTTATTGTTTTTTTTTGCTGCTATTTTTGATTTGTTCCCCGAAAAAAGTGCATACAATGAATTCAGTAAAATATCTATAAGCTCTTGCTGGCTCTTTAGTGAATTTCGTATTCACGCTCCAGCGCTAAACTTTATTGCGAAAATTGTATAGTGTTATTTTGAGATAGAAGTGGTCATGAAAAGTTCACGTTTCCTCTATTAAAAATGCAACGAAAATCTTCTCGGCCAAAAACCATCGCCGGTTTAACGAATCCAGAGCTCATACGCACAAACTGCTTTTGCATGATTTTTTCTATCTCTCACTCTCGTTTCCGCTGTTGAATATTCCGTGGGTGTCAACACGGTATTTAAAGACCGGAAGATTTTATGCGAACAACAGAGAGCACAGTGTCATGTTCAGTATTCCATATTTAAGCTCAATTTAACCATGATGTGAATGTTCACATTTTTTATGGTAGAAAAATCCGCTTGGTGCGCTTTTTCCTCTGTTGAAATTCCAAAATAATAAAAAAAAACTTTCGAGTTTGAAAAGCCGACCCACTCTTGATCTGATAATCTCTGACTCTCGACATCCAAACCACAAAACCTAACAGCAAATGTGTTTGATGCTAAAAGCCGCAACTTTTGTGTTTATCCTAACATAATCTCTCGTTCTAATGAATGATAACCTTCATTGGGATGTTTTCCCTACGGGAAGAATACTTATAAACTACGATAAATTGTTTGCAGTTAATTTACTTAAGCACCCACTGAACACAGTAGAATCTTTTATGAACTCAAAATGAAAATAAATGTTTTTTTTTTCAATTTTCATTGATGTTCGTTGTTTGATTGCATCAATTTCTGATAGCCATTGTCGAACGGTGCGCTTGTGGGATACAAATTTTTAATTCATATAACCATTAAGAGTCGAACGGCATTGGAAATTTCAATTTGCAGCGTCAAATTAACATGCCCACAATGCTATGAAATGACAGAGGGTGTAAAAAGAGTAGCGTGTGTTTGTTTGAACTTACGGGAAATAAAGGCGCCCCATTAACACAAACACTTTCAGCAAATCGCACACGGCTCGGTCGTTTGTTGCGCAATTTCTCTTTTCGGGCAGGTGACAACAGGGTTGATTTACGACCTGGCGAGCATGGTAACATCTCTGGTTGGCACACCAACAGGCTGACTTGCATTTCACATGACCGAACCAATTGGATAACATGATCTCGAGGTGCATCCTTCACATCCTCCCCGTTGACAGCTAATATTTGATCATTTGGTTGCAGCTAAAAATTGAAATGCAATAGACACAAACACACAAACAAAATGAAATGAGGGCAATCAATTGGATTTCGTGCTGATAAAATCGTTTCGCCTCCCGCACACTGCATGTGCCATGCGATGCAAAACGATTGTACCGAATCGTAATTCAATGTTCATCGATATGTTTATTATTTCACTTACATGGTTAACACTAGGTCCATCCGGTGTGACATAACGCACGATAACCGGCCGCTCACTGCCAGCTACAAAACCAAAACCATTTTTCTGGCAACGATTTAAAACCACGAGTCGTGGTTCAGGCGGTCTGCTGTCGTACTGAGAACAAATCGGCACCTCGTATGTGGTCGTTTTATTCAAGTGACTGCATCGAACGCGACACCAGCAACAAAGCGGCAAATGCACAACAAGAGAGGGAGAGATAGAGAAAGTGAGATAAAAAATAAATGGTGAAATAAATATTACTTTGTGTCCATGCAACACAGGATGCACGGGCGGAAAATCTAAGCGATATGTGCACTGGGTGCTCGGAATGAATTTCAATTTTCTGACTCGACGCGAACACTAAATAATTCATGTAAAAAGCATTCTCAACTGCTCGATTTTAGCACAAGCCAAAGTGCAGCATATAAAGTTTATTTGATGAATTCAGAATATACACACAAATATTCCGCCATTAGAGAATGAGCATTAAGAGCCGTCGAAATGTCACACGCACTCACTTTAGCCTCATGCAGCCATATTATGAAATCGCCATAAGAACATACACAAAAAGTATTGAGTTCGTAATCACATTACGCTAACACCACAAACATAAACATATTTGCTGCACTCTGAACATGTACTCACACTCATACACACCCACATTGTTGATAAAAAAAAATGTAATATATAAAAGTGAATGTCAGAGAATGGAAAATGCAAAGAAAGCACAAATAAAAATTGACTATCGAGCGACAACGACGACGGCAGCGGCGGCAGATGAAGTGAGCAATGCATGGACGGAAAATGGAATTGAACAAAATTAAAACTTACTTGACGTAGTAGGGTCGACCCTTTCCATCGATGGCTTTCTCCCATCCGTACGGATATTCGATATTGTGAGTCCAGCATTCAGCAGGTGGTAACCACGAAGCCGATCTCGTTATGTGACTGGAAATTTTAATGGAATGAAGGAAAAATTAATGTTATTTATTTATTTTAAAACACACAAAAAGCGCATATACACATCTCAAATAGAGAAAAAATAAAATAAAACAAAAGTTTGCTCATTCTCCACATGCATTCGATATGCTGCTTCATATATCTCAACACGTTCGATGTTTTGCGTGTGTGCGATTTTTGCCACTATTCAATATGCGAACACTGCTTTTAGCATTAACTCAATGTAACTCACATAAAACCGATAAAGTCATGTTCAGAGCAATCATCAAATCTACCATGGATAAACACCATGGTACAAAGCATTTAACGTATTACGCATACACAACCTGAATCCGACAGACTTCAACACAATGAAATTAATCCAAAGTATTTGCTATGGTGCAAAATCTTGGTCCGTAAACGTGTTTCTGTGTGCTATGCGCACCGAGAACACAAAGCAGCAGCGGTGGTGGTGGTGGCCAGGGTGCTTTCTGTATATGTCAATGGGTGAATTGCAGAATATTTGCCCGCTTCGAATGAGCAGAATGATCGTAAAATCAAATTAAATATTAATTTAGTCAAACAATACGAATGTGTGTGTATGTTGGTGGCTCATTGAAAATGAAGGCATGCATATCGAAAGCGTACGCTGATGCAGCATTTTAATAGACTTCATTGTATGAAAGCCGATATTTTAGCCTCGCATGTTTGCAATCAAATTCATTTCAGGAATTTCATTCAGTACACTACACGGCTCTATGTAATGGAGCTTCTGGCGAAAAAAGCGTTGTTGTTGTTTTCACCGTTTGAAAGGGGGAAAAACGAAAGTGAAAGAGACACAAATCCGATCAGAATCAAATCGAATCGAGATTAACGTCCACTGATTTCATTAGCCATAACAGACTAATCAACATAATACTAACGCAGCCTATTTGCGCACTATATCAGAAACCGTTCACTTTAGCCGTGCATTGACCATCAACTCGAAAGGATTGCGATTGGCTACCTGAAATACGGACACACTCCTTCGTCGAGTATGGGCAAGTTTTTGTTTTTGTCTTCTCGGTTTGATGTTGATTCGAGCGAGCGGTGACGAAGCGGAGAAAATTCGATTTGACGCCGACATGTGTACAAAGTTTCATCTATAAATTCGATTTAATTACCAATTACAAATAAATAAACGCAATTTGTTTATCGATAAATAGATTCGATAACATATGAATAAGCAAAAACAATAGGCATAGACATTAAAATTTGAGCGAATTCAAGCGGTGGTGGCAAATGAAAGGACATTAAATCTGGTTGATTGCATTTCGAACAGTGGAAACACAGAAATGCGTTGAGCAAATACATGGAAAACGAGATGGGTGGTGCTGACGGCGGCGGCGGCGGTGGCGATGGCGACGGCGGTGGCGTCGATAGTGGCGTCAAAGTTTCACAATCGCTTGCGGTACAAATAATAGTTCAATCGAATATTAATTAGCTTGAATCGACCGTGCGACAAATTTTCTGCTGATCGAGTAAATTAATTATATTCTAATAATTATGCACAAACATAATCGATAAATCTCGTGAATTAAAGACTCTAATTCGTTGTTTATTTCGAAAATTGATAATTTCGAATTAATAGCTTTGTGCTGATTTCTATCGACATGCATAATATGCAAATGAGAGCAGATATTTTGTGGCTCCTTTTTATGTTCGTTGCTGTTGTTGCAACACAACGGTGTTGGTGTTGTGATTGCTGTTGGCTGGACAAAATTTGCATCGTGCTCGAATGAACCGAATGTAAGTAAAATAACCATGTCAAATGTCAACTTGTTTAATCTGGATTAGAAGCATGTACGGGGAAACATGCAATATTGTCATATTAGTGAAAATCTTGAGCAAATAGCTTATAATGCCAAAACATTTGTAGTACATGCAAAATGCAGATATCAATCAGTATTTACTATCGTAGCAACGGTATCGCCACACACACACACACACACTCCCATATGCAAAATACAAACAAATTTTCGCCGGAAAAACAACATCGGTACCAAAACGGAGCGATGTCACGTTTTATTTTGTTGTGCACGACTTCTTCTCCCCTCTTTCTCTATCTTTCTCTGGCCAGCCAAAGAACAGAAATGCACGTAGTCTAGAAGAAATAATGGTATAGGGATTACTTTTGCATACACTATATTCACAGCATGTGTTTGTGTTGCACAGCATATTGCTGAAACTGGGAAAAATTCTTTGTCTCTACGTTGTGTGTTTTGAGCCAGATTTATTCTAAATATGCATATTCGATCGTGACAACTATTGTCTTTAACTTTGATCTTTGTGAGGTATTTGCTGCTTCGTTGTATGGCAAAACTAACTAGCTCTCCATTTATTAATACGTATTTTCATTTCAACCATATATATTCGTCTCGAGTCATTTGATCGTGAATATTGCAAAATTGATGATACACTCGATTTACATACTCCTTCGCTCGCATTCACATTGACATGCAACGATGGCAATGTGGAGTGCATCAAATAAATACGAAGTGATTTGAATAAGTAAAGGCACCACATGGCATAATTCATTTTATCCATTGTGCCATTCGACATTCGTTGTGTATGACTTTGAAAGCCATAGTGAAGAATAAATGAGCGAAATGCTAAACGGAAAAAGAACCAACCTTCATGATATTGTTCACGTCTGAATTGAATTTTATGGCATGGCTTCAATTTGTTCAAACATTCACAAATACGGAAAGAAATTGCAAATTATCATTCCCATTTACATGTATGTACATATGTGCAAGTGGAATGTCCGGAATGTCTTTGGGTTCAGCATGCGTACGAAGAATGACGAAAATGCTTTATCGATTACATTTTTACATAGAAGGAATGCGGAAAGCCTCATCCCGCCCAAACAATGTGAAACAGTAACTCAGAAGGAAGTACCCAATAAATTTGCTTGTCGACTCGAAAATTATTAACTCTTCAACGGTTTTGAATGTATGCTACGATCGAGTCTTGGCATATTTTATGAAATTGATTTTGTTGGTCGTCAAAATGGTTTGGTTCGGCTCATACAAATACCAAATCGATTTGTACGTCAAAGAGCTTACACGAAAACTTTTTTTCCCTTCTACAAATATTACTTATTGATTAAGTCATTTTGACAAAATACTTTTGTGGCTGAGTTTCTTGTGATATAACACCAAAAGCAATCCAAATGTAACAACTGACCTAAAAGCAACAAGGAAATGAGTAAATTGAGTAAAGTGTGAAGGGTCGAATTTCTTTTGTCGGAATCAAAACTCATTTATTAATAGATATCATTCCACAATTCAAGGCTAATGGGAATGCAGCCTAAATTACACGTCGTAAAAGCGTTCATTTTTTCACTCAAACCATCTTAATGCTGACATTCTGAGCATGGCACAAGTAGTGTTATGAACATAAAACGCGATGTCGATTATTTATAGAAGTAACATTTAATTTGGCGTTGATGTTGACCGATAACACATACACACCATCAGCAGCACCATGGCTTGTATCAGTATTCACAATCAAATGCTACACACTTTGGGTCGCTTGCCATACACAAATATTTATTTTCCCATAATAATTAATGTAATAAGCTCTGCATGAGATGTGTGTTGTCGTTTGCGTATGAAATAATATCAACAAAAATTGTGGCGGATTTTTGTTGGTGTTGGTCATAACAGTGATATTCATTTCGTATCATGAGTTACATGATATCACTTTACGAGGAGATTTTCGCTAAATGAGAATATATTCGCAAAAAACACTTTTCGCCACATAATTGACACAAAATATAACTTGGATGATGTTAATGATGATACTCGGGTCGAGTCTAATGAAATTACCATGGGATTTGCATTTAAAAAACAATCAAAAAGTGTGAATTCGATGTTGGGTCTGACTTTTGGCGGCCCTTGTGGGAATTACACCGAATTCCACATTCCACACATATACACACTCATACACACACACACACTCTGTCCGCTTGAAATAACGTTGAAAGTTTTGTGTGCGAATATGAAAAGGGTTTTATTCGTGTCGAATTTAGCACTCTCGCACAATCAAGGGATCCACTCAAAGTTCTTCAAATGCGAATGAATCTCTTCCATGGTGGCAACATATATTCGTGTCTATATTACAATGCCATTGTGTTGTACTCAGTTGCTCAATTCACCGCTTCGGTGTGGTACGTTTTCTTTGGCAAATTTACGTTTTCATGGCGAAAGCGACGGCGACGGTACTTGTATGTTGGCAGCACATTATTAATTGCAGGTCACCTTGGCTTTGATCTTTTAGTGTACGATGTATAAACACCTTTTTTGGTCTGGCATCCATTTACCTTATGTAGTACACGGGGCCATTGCTTGAGTATACCCTGTACAGATGTTCATTCTGCCATTTATTTCAAGCACCGAACTCGGCGAATTTGATATCAACAAAAAATGGTAATCACTTCAATGAGCCAAATACATAGAATCATGATTAAGTGCATTTTGATAGCACGGCACACGGAAATGGTTTCGATCATAATTTTTGAATGATTGATTTATATTATCGAAATATCGAATTATGGCATTAATTAAACGGCGACAAAAAAACTGGTAGGTGGAAATGCTACACTGAATTATCTCAAGAGTCTGAAATGAGAATCAGAAATATCTCATGGTAGAAAAAAAAATGAGATTGGATACGGCCCAAATTTGGATTGAAGATTGTGAGCTAATTGTTGCACGCACTCCAGTTCAATATTTCTTCCGTGGCAGAGAGTTGAATGTTAGTGCTCGAAATGTTCTATTTATTCATTCTCCCGTCCTACATTCGGAAATCATACAGAAGCGAGATATGAGTTGCGATGTCGATGAAAACCAGAATATCCACTTACGATGCTCGCATGTTGCCTACTACACACTTAAAAGGAGCACAGGTATATAACCTAATCACCGTTTATTGAAATCTAAATGAAATTGCGTCTCAATCACCAT